AGGCGCATCGCAGAGCGGGATGGGATAAATCTAACATCATCTTATAATATCCCATGACAAGAGGAGACAATATCTCACAACCGACAGTCTCCAAAGTGTCAGTTGACAGAATTGACGAAAAACGCAAGAAACCAAGGGAAATGCCTTTATTGCGGTACGCGATCAGGTCTGATGTCTGACCGCTTTGGTGCGATGAGAGGGTGCCACTGTGAGAGGAAGACGATTGCTATATTGATTATGTTAGTATCTACACAGATCATAGAGATATGTGGTTAAAGAGCATGGGTAAGAAGAAACGTACCCCACATCAAATAACAGGAAACGAAGGTAAGGATGAGCGTGCTGCGGAAGAGGCTAAGGAAAGCAGAGTCAGTATTCTCAAGTGCTTGCAACTTTGAAAGGAAGGGCCGCTGGGCTCGCCCAGTATGCAAAGAGGGAAGCATAGACCCACGTCTGATTATCGCCCTTCGGGCTCAGGAACCACGCTGCTGTCGAGAGCGCGACAATGATAACCAGGCCAATTAACAAGCTCCAGCTGTTGAAGTTTATGTTAGCGACTATAGTCTTTTATCGAGTAGAGTATCCGGGGGTCGGGGCGTGGCGGGATAGATCGAACAATGCGAACACCCTTAAGCAAGTAATCATCGATCCATTGCTCGAGATAGATATGCATTGTTTATCCCATCACTCCGACAGAGGGAAAACATACCCGTTTGCCATTTTGTCGGTATTTTGTTATTATCTTCGTTCGTCGGAGTAAAGCACAGCCCAAGTGGAGATCACTCGGTATGTTATGCGATTGTCGATAGGGCGAAGAGCGGGCGAGCTAGGGAGGAGACCACAGAGGAGGCGGATCGTTTACTTGATGGTATAAATTCTGCGCACGAGTGTTCTTGAATGTCCGGGTCTTTTGACGGCGCGGGTAGACGGACAAGTAATCGATTGCTCGTTGCAGCGTGGCACGATTAGGATCGACTCGATGGTATTTCGGGGACGTGTTCAAGAAACCAAGTATCCGGAGGTCCTTCTTGGGAATGATGTAGCTGTTAGGTATGTTGCGAGCTAATAAAAGGCGACCTGGCGAGTTGGAGTATCTCCGTTGATGTCGGAGCTCCTGGAGCTAGCATGCCTGAGGCAGAATTGGCGGGCGGTGGACCATACAACATCTATACAGCAATGAAGATGCATCTTTTCTACTCCGTACATTTCCTTACAATATTAATTTTATGAGAATACACATAGGAGCTTCTTCTAGGTCCAAAAATACAGACTGAATGATCTGTTGGGTGGGCTCAGCTGAAGCAAAGCGGCTTAGGTACAAAACACAAGGCCATGGCTCGGGATAACAGACAAAATCGAAGCCAGACAGAAGGATAACAAAAGAAACATGGCATTCAAAACAACACTTAAGCACCCTCACGGATCTTGCGGTAGCTGGCCTAAGAAAAAAAACTGGTTAGATGTGATAGACATGTAGAACGAGCATCACCGAGAACTTACCTCCTGCTCGACCTGCAGTGCATCTACGGTTGGAGCAAGCTCACTGAGAATCTCATATGATTTCTTGTGGAACTCGAGCTGAGCGGCGATCAGATCGGCCAGGTTGCGCAGGGGCTCGGGGGTATCAAGGACCTTGTTACAAGCAATGTTAGTACCACTGGACAGATTTCAGAACACAAAAACAGAAGATCAACCAGCACTTACATTTTTCATAACGCTCACAGCCTCCTCAGTCTGGCCAACAAACTCATCTTCGGCCTGCTCGATCTCCGCGCGGGCATCCTCGCTCAGGTTATCCAGGTCGCCGTGGGCGCCGGCCTTTTTGCTAGCCTTGATGGAGTCAAGCATCAAGCGGGCGTTCTCAACATTCTTGCGCGCCTTAGCAGCGAACATCAAGTTAGTGTTGAGGGTGGTGTTCCAGCCGGCCAGGAAGCGAGACTGGATCTGAGCATCCTGGGCCAGGCGAGCCTCGCCCACCTGCTCCTCAGCCAGAGCATACTTCTCCAACGCAGTGGCGAGTGGGTCTTCACCCTCGGTGCTCTGTGCGAGTGTCTGGGAGCCGGCAAGGGAGGCACGGGCGATCGCGTGGTTGAAGGTCTTGGGTTGGGGCTTTGCGGAAGGCGGGGCTGTCAGAGCAGCTTGTGCCTCAGCAGGCGAAGCTGCCTGGGACAGGAGCTGGACTTTCTCGCTGATCGTGCGGCCCAGGTCATTGAAGGATTCGCGGATGTTTGGAGGGTAGTCGTAGGCCTCATTGGAGTATTGGGAGCTGCTCGCGAGAGATGGCACCGGTTAGCACCAGTGCGGAGAGCCATCCAGAGCGCAGAAAGCAACAGGAATTACTCACGTCACCTGCAACAGCTTCTGGTGGACAAGCTTGAGCGCATCGACGCGCTTCTCGAGCTCGATGTATTCATCGGGGAGTTGGGTCTTGTCGTCGGCCTGGCCCAGCTGCTCCTTGATCATTTGCTGAGTACGCTGCGCAAAGGGTGTGAAACTCGCACTGTCCGTCAGAAAACCAAAAGGCAAGAAGATGTTAGCAAAGCGACCGAGCACAAGTCGAGGGGGATGGAATGAGGTCCGCGGGATAGGGGGGCTATGACGGTGTACTCACCTGAAGTTCTTTCCGAATGCCTGCATTCGATCCATGATTGATATATTTTTAAACGTTTTAAGTTAGAAAGAAAAAAGGAGGAGATAATGGCGAGAAACGGATGGGAGTGTTGATGGGATATTACCACATGTGCTACGCGGGCGGGATGAAGCCTCGACCTTGCACCGCCTCATTTACGCCACTTATCAACTTATCAGGCACTATCAGGCACCTTCCTTTTTCCACCTTGATACTAGAAGACATTCAACTCCATGTCAAATCCATGTTTCCTCTAAAAGCAACCCCCTGTAAGTATCGAGTGTTTGAAATTTCAATATTGTACTTGGAGATGGTCTGCAAATTGCTAAAAGATACATAAAAAACATCCGGAAATCCCCATCCAGAACCCAGAACCACTGAGTCAAATTAAAATCATAACATCGTAATTCGCTGGTTCAAAAGCAAAGCATGAAAGCATGAAAGCATGAAAGCATCAGGGAAATTAGGTTAGGTCAGAGTGGCCATCATAGCACGCATGATGCGGGAGTTGGGTTCTAGAGAAGGTCAGAATCACCGAAGGGGTATGTATAGTAATCTGTGGCGTCGTACCTGAGCGCTCCTGCCTCCGGATCTCAGTAACCTCCTCCTGGTTGCCTCTTTCGTCAATGATATCTGTTTCGCGTTGCCGAGTGATCTCAATCCCACCCTGCCTCTCTATACGAAGAAGTCTTGTCTCCTCTTCCAGATTGCGAATGTACTCATTCACGTCGTCATCGCTGTCCCGTGGACGAACGACAACCATCGAGCTCGTACGAGGACTATCCAATTCCCGCTCCTCGATGTACTCCACGGGAGACAAGATACGGGGTCCGCGGTCATGGACTGATACAGCTCGTCGCCGAGAGATCCCTCGCCTGCGCGGCCTCTCGACAATCTCCTCGTACTCATCTGCATAGTGGCGTGACCGTGACCTGTGTCGGGAGGGTGATGCTTCCACGATGAATGCCTGGCTCGTGCGGGGAGAAGCATCGACACGCAAGTGTTCTGTCGTCACCCGCTCGCGTGTACGTTCCCTTAGCGGAGGAGACGGGGCAAATTCGACATATTCGGCTGTTCGAAAAAAAGGCCAATTAGTATGATCTTCCTCATAGACTTGGGGATCCGGATACGCATGTATATGCCACTCACCTTCCACGGACGGAGGCCGCCTGAACTCGCGGCTCAAGCTAAGAACTTCGTCGATTTGTTCCTTCGACAATGCCTTTTGAATGACGATCACATCATCCTATCTAGGTCAGCAGCCGACAACAGCACTATCGGAAATCAAAACACCAACCTCTTCCTTGAACGGGTACCCTAGATCCATGATGGCGTGAATATGAGCAAGGTGACGAGGAACACGGGTCTTCCCTTTGCGTGGGTAAGGTTTCTCCTCATGATGTCTGCGAAGAGTACTGCTAGACCGGCGGCGACGATCAACCATATCTCGCTCACTGATATCTCTAAATTCTTCATCACCATAGTAGTCGGGTTCGGCGATCCTTATATCTTCGTAGACTTCCCGTTCGCGATAACGGCCCGGAGAGGGGAGGTGACGAGGCGGAGCAACAAGAGGTACACGGGGAGCGCGGGGTCCAACATCTCGGGCATCAAAGTGTTCCATATTGCGCCTTGGTATGCGGTCAAAGGTATCCAAAGACGACTGCCGCCTAAGAAGTTGAGGACGACTGAATGAGGGACTATCGTCACCGCGCCGACGCCGATCATGCGCCACAAGAGACATGGAAGGGGGTTGGTGGTCTAGATGGTCATCCTCATAGAGTCTCCCGGGTGCACGAGCAGGGGGCCCATATCGATCTTCCTCATGGAGGCGTGATTCAAAGCGCTCTTCGACATGGCGGGGTCGTTCGGCCACGGGGGGACCCCGTGAGTATCGATCATATCGATCGCGAGAGCTCAGTGTCCCCGTTGACGAGCGGTAGTCATCATAGCGAGACATCTGAGAAAACACAGCAAGGATGAACCGTGGATGACGCGAGCGGCTGACTTCCGTGCCGAGGGTGGGGTAATTCGAGTAACCACGGGTGAAGAGAGACCTCGTGAGAATGATAGGAAGAGAGAGAAAGACAGAAATGAGCCGGGAGGCAGCAATGAGGAGAGAGGAACTGAAAACAGAAATCAAGAATCAGCCTTGGGAGAGAAGAAGAAGTAAGATAAATAAAACGTCAGGCAGAAGTCGATCAGTGATGACATTGGGTCGGATGTTGATTGCATGTGGGGATACCCGGACACCTATTTGCGCCACATGTTTGGACAAAGTACGGGCACTACTGTATGATGCGACTGTATGTTGCGCTTAATGTATGTACTATGTATGTAGACACGGATGCATTGTGTAGTTGATCCAATCCTAAAGCTCCAAATTCGCAATGTCCTCTTCCAAGATGCCCATAGCCCAATGCGCTCGGTCCGACTTGACTGGCACAAACCGACGATCTTTTACCTCATGCAGCACCGCCTCAGACTGTGGCGCATACATTAGCTTGGATGTTGAGGGCCAAAGATATCCAATAGATGTACTTACCTGACGCTCCTGTTCCCTTTCACGATCTCGGTCAGTCTTGAATGACTGTTGATAGGGTGGCCCGCGACCTTGCTTGGCAGCGGCTATCCAAGCTTTCTCACAGCCACCTGCGATAGCGTCTGCGCTCTTCCACCCGGTCAGGCGGGAGATGTCACGTAGTGTTGAAATCGTCCAAGCTCGCTGTGTGGGATCACTATATTGCACAGCTGCAAAGAATAGCGGCACCGACATGTCAGTCAACGAAGAACCCAAATTCGGATTCAAGCTTCCGGCTTCGAGGTTAAAACGTTGCGGGTAGTAGACACCCGCCAGGATCTTCCCAACAATCTGCGAAAATTCAGCTGTCGTGGGAGCAGAGACTCCAGCTGCGACCATGATAGCCGGTGGCATAGAAGGATGAATCCGGTTCAGCAGCAGGCGCATGGCATAATAGAACCCCCAGATCACGGCGATGGTATGGGTACGGTATTGGAGGGCAGGACCGAACGGTGTAGATATTGGGGGCGCGACGTCTGATGGCAAAGGCTGGAAATCGCGGCCCAGCGCTTGGTATAATATTTCCATGGCGACGAGGATCTCTTCCCATTCTTGTTCGGCTTCGTTGTAACTCACGTCGTGAGCGGGGTCATCCTCGTCCGGTGACAAACGAGGCTCACGCGGTCTATCTTCGAATCCCCGGGGAAGACGTGCAGGCGGTTGAGGGGGTATCATTCCGTACATGGGGGGACTAGGGGCCGAGGTCGATCCAGGGCTTGAAGAAGGAGACATCCCAGTAGGTGGGCCAGGTGGACCCCCTGGACCGAGGCCGCCAGATGGTCCAGGTCTTTGGCCGGGAGGGCCGCCAGCGAACCGACCCATGAATTTAAACATCTCAGGGCCTGGCCTCCAGTTCACCCCGCCTGCCTTCAGGGTTCTCAATTTTCGCTTACGGTCACGGAAGCCAAAGTCTGTGACCCGAGCGAGCAGCAGCCACAGATGATCTGCGGAGCCGTATATGGCATCTAAACGGCCAATACCTGCTCGAGGTGGGCATTGGCCCCATTGAGAGTAAGGCATTCTGGTTTGCCGATGAGCAAATCGCCTGTCTAGTAGCCGTAGGTGTAGACTTACAATAATTTGTTTCCGCCGATAAAACTCTGGAATGCATCTTGCTTTGCGTACCACCAGTATAGATCGCATTGAATCCGGAAAACCTCAATGTCCTTGCGGGTGAAATGCTTCTTGGAGTGCAGCATACCCTCTTCATTGATACCTCCAAAATCGTCGTAATTCACTGCTTGTCCCATAATGGCGCCTATGAGATCTTCGTCGATGCTTTCCTCTTTCTCGGAGAAGGGATCGTCTTCAGAGACCTCACCAGACATCCCCCACCACGAGTTCGCCCAGCCTGACTGGCGCCGCTGCTCGTGAGATCTACGTCGATAGGCCCGTAGGTCTCTGGTGGTCTTGGCGAAATCGATCTCTCGGATCAAATGGGTGGACCCACCCAGGTGGTTATTCCATTTCGAGTGGTCGGCAGATATCACCTCATAGTAGCCCAGTAGAAGAGTGGCAGCCAAGGTACCGACTTGTTTGCGTCGGAGAGGAAGACCAACTGCGGAACTAACTCGTTTCAGGGCGTAGTGATAGTGCTTCAAAGATACTGTCGTGGGAGCTTGCTGTAAATAGGCAATGTGTAAGCTGCTGACAGCCAGTATTGCCTGTAGAAGAGCTGGATGCTCTAAAGCTTTGAGGGCAAGCGTATAGACCCATAGACCCTGCTGTGCAGATGGGACAGCCGCTCCCAGAACAATTGAGGAGTCAGTAGGATGCCGTTCAAATATAGACAAGGATGGACCAGTCGAATGAATGAAGTGAGCAAAGATGCGGGCAGTCTTTGGGTTGTTCAGCGGAGAAGAGCCAAGTGTAGGACGGTATGAGGCAAGCACATTGGGCTCGTTCAGGTAAGTCGTGAAGGATCGAAGTTGTTGCTCGTCGCGGTTAGCAGAGGCCATAATGAGACTCAGCTGGTTGAAGCCTTCGGCCTGCGATTGATCCACCATCTCATCATCCGAGTCCACGTCGTAGTAATCCTCGCTTTCATCCTCCATGTATATCATTTGTTGTTGATGGGGTATTTGATAGGGTATATATTGCTCATGAGATCGTAATTGCTGCGGTAATTGCCCCAGCGGTGGCTGATAATGATATATCGTCGGCAGCGGCTGGGTCATCTAAGAAATCGTACTCAGCATACCAGTTGCTAAAGACAGAGATAATGACAATACATACCTGAGGAACCGGGTTGGTCTCGCTCTCCCTCCTTCCATGCATTGAACTGGAAGCTAGCATGGGCGAGAGATTGGAGGCGTATTCTTCAGCTGTCTGACCGATCGGACTGGCGATCTGGGGCACATTTTGTACGCTTGCATGGGGCCTATGTAGAGCGCTTGTCTGGCCTAACTGAACTGATTGCTGTCCTTGCGAGAAGTCAGTCACATTTGGCGGAACTAGCGTGTTCTCCGTTTGAGCTATCGGCTGGATGTGCCACATATGGCTCGATGGCTGCACATGAGCTGGATAATAGAAGGAGGGTGTATTAAGGGGCTGTAGTTGAGCTGACGAATGCATTTGGGACGGAAATGAGGGATATCCCATCACGGCTGGATCAGCAGGTCGCGGAGCTAGCATTGGATGCTGAGCAGCGGCTGCCGCTTGTTGGGGAGGGAGTTCAGAGCCATAGTCGTTGGGCATCGGCCCCCTCATATGTTGTTGATCTATCTGCAAATCGTGGCTGTGGCCATTATTGAAAGATCCGAAGAGGCCTATGGGGTTCTTGAACACGACCCGCTGGGCATATCCCTCGCAGATTCGCTTGGATTTCACGCAGTTGGTACATATTGGCTTCTCTTCGCCGCACTTGATCCGGCGCTTTCGACAAGCTATGCTTCGTCAATGAGGGAACCCTATCTCCAGTGTTCTGCAACATACTCAAACAGCCAGTCTTGGTTCGTTTTTTCGGGAGTCTGCGGGGACCTTGTCCGGTTGAGGTTCCCGCAGAACCGCCAACAGTAAGATCTGCTGGAATATCCAGCTGATCCTTCAGGTCGTCAGCCATAACCTTGGAAGGACTCAAGATTGCGGAGTGGACATGTGCGAGGACATTGTGGGGCTAAAAGACACAATAATCAGATAAGTAAGAAACAGAGCTAGGAGGGAAAAGCTGCCTAGCAACGCAGATCACCCGCGATACAATGTGGTTCATCAAGGGGGGATATACATATTTGCAAGGTTGCTCTTAACACAGTCAGACTGCTAAGTGTCCACGGATATTGACATTTATAATTACAACTTACGAGACGCTTAGGGGCGTACAACGTTGTCTTTGTGGCCCAAGAAAGTCACACTATAGGCATACATCAGTGCCTGAGGCACCAATGTGTATGTAATCTGATAGTAAAATTACCGATAACGAAATTTTGAGAGTTTTTTTTTGGAGGTACCGTTTCCCCTACCTCAAAGGCATTGGACATTTACAACCAATCCTTCGGAATTAATTATGTTCGCTGTTCCAGGATGGTCCGTTGAGAGCTCTGCTCTGAAGTCACAGACTCAAGCGGCACAGCCTAAAAACGACTCTCAGCCGGAGAAGAATGCCTCCAACGATGCGAAGAACAATAAACGCAAGCGTGCCAATGACCGTGTCACTGCGGGAAATGTGGATGAGATGTACCGCAGACACATCGAGGGTACCTCCAGGAGTGGAAAGCATGGTGCAGATGATTCTGTGAAGCCAGAGAAGAAGCAGAACAAGGAAAAGAAGCAGAAACAGACACTTGAGACTGCCACCCAGGAGACTACAAGTGAAACTGCCACTACTGCCGAGGCAGATGCAGATCAAGCCGAGGATAAAGCACCCAAGAAGAAGCAAAGGAGGAACAGGAGGAACAAGGACAACAAGGACAACGCAGAGGACAAGATCGAGGCAGACGGCGCTACCACTACCCCGGCTAAAGAAGCTCCTGCTGCTGCTCCTGCTCCCGCTCCCGCTGCACCCGCACTCCCACCAACATCGAACCTGACTCCTCTCCAGCAGGCGATGCGACAGAAGCTGATCTCCTCTCGGTTCCGCCACCTGAATGAAACCCTCTACACCACCCCCTCCGCGAAAGCACTCGAAATGTTCAGTACCAACCCGGAGCTGTTCGACGAGTACCATGCCGGATTCGCGCGACAGGTGAAGGAGTCCTGGCCCTCCAACCCGGTCGATGACTACATCAAGACTATCCGTACCCGCGGTGCAATTCCGCTCCCAAGGCGAGGAAATCCCATTAACCCTGCTAAGGGCTACCCGCTCCCTCGTCGTCCCACTGGACTATGTACATTCGCAGATCTGGGCTGCGGTGATGCACAACTCGCGCGCGCTTTGACATCCTCCGCCAAGAAGCTGAAAATCAAGCTTAACAGCTACGATCTGGCAGCGCCCGATCCACTGATCACCAAAGCCGATATCTCGAATCTTCCTTTGGAAGATGGGGCGGCGGATGTGGCTATTTTCTGTCTAAGTCTGATGGGAACCAACTGGGTTTCGTTCGTCGAGGAGGCATGGCGTATTTTGCGCGGTGACGGCAAGGGCGAGTGCTGGGTCAGTGAGGTCAAAAGTCGATTTGGAAAGGTCCAACGCAAGAAGTCTCAGATCGGTGCGATGAAGCCCGGCAGCAAGGCAGACAAGAAGAAGCCCAAGAAGAAGGGCGGCGCCGATTCTGATGACGATGAGGCTGATATCTTTGCTGAGGATGCGCGACCGTCTGACAATAACGATGAGACTGATATCTCGGCGTTTGTGGAGGTGTTCCGGTCTCGTGGGTTCATGCTTCGCCAGGAATCCGTGGATAAGTCCAATAAGATGTTCGTGAGAATGGTGTTTGTTAAGCAGGGTGGTGCGCCTACCAAGGGTAAACACGCTTCGGCTCTCACTGCGCCTGCCCCTGGTAACAAGAAGCGCTTTGTCGACCGCAAGCCTGATTCAGAGTCTGGCATGTCGGCTGAACAGGAAGCCCAGGTGCTGAAGCCTTGTGTTTATAAGATCCGCTAGACGTTGCACCGGATCTATTTATATGTCATTGTACATAACCAAAATCTACCACACATGACCACTATGTTTGTGGATCATATCCCGAATGCAACATACGACGTAGTTAGACCAGCATGTAAGCGTTGGATGGCATCGTCATTATTTTTCTATTGCTCCCGACATAAATACTAGCCTCCAAATCAAGTCCAAGGAGCCTCTTCGAAGATATCTTAGACACTGATCGCCCTTATTGGTTCCCACCGAGCTGTGTGACAGCTTGGCCCATCTCCTCATCGTTGTAGATACGGAAACCCTTCTCCTTGGTGACACTGGCCAACTGGACATTCTTGGAATCAAGCTTCTCCTCCATGACCTGCTTCAGTGTCTTGAGTACCAACGTCTCGGCCTCTGCTAGAGTCAAAGACCGATGGTATTCATTCTGCAGCTCCGCCTGCGCACCTTCGCTTCCCGAGCCGATGGCCTTGGCATCATACCGGTAGAATGTGCCGGACGGTTCAGCGTGGTATCTAGCAGAAAAGATGAGTCAGTGAATATATCAGACAAAAGAAATCTGCATATCTTACAGTTGGGGCCCGTCCTCGTCATAACCAGCGATTAACAGCGCAACACCAAACGGTCTGCTCATGACACTCTCCTCGTCATCACCGCTCTCACCAAATCGCAGAGCCAAATCGCAAATTGCCTGCGTGGTGCTCTCGACCCGCAGAGGCTCGGCATAGTGGAAGGCGTGGTTTTGGCACTCGACTCGGGCGTGCTCGACTAGGTTGCGGGCATCGGCTTGCAGACCGGACATGGCACAGCCGATGTGCTGGTCAATTTCAACGATCTTCTCGACGGACGACGCTTCGAGCAGCGTGGATGTGACGCGCTTCTCGACACCGAGAATCACACCCTCGGAGGTTGCTACCTAGATGAGTATTAGAAAAAACGGTTTCATAATCGCATTATCCTTGGTCTTGCGCTCCGATAACAGTACAAAGATCACTCGGTGTAGTGGTTTGAGGACTTTCTTGAAATCGTAGAGCAAAGAGGAACTGAGTTGTATGACATACTCCGATCGCGGTGGAGCCTAGTTTGATAGCTTCAAGAGAGTATTCGACCTGGAACAAACGACCTTCGGGGGAGAAGGTGCTGCGGAGGGGACATTGTCAGACAGCGGGTCGGTATAAGAGCGCGGATTGTTATCGGAGAACGTACTTGATTCCACGGTCTGTCCATAGCTGTTAGTTGATTCCGCGGTGAGGGGAGGCCCTGATGAAGCTTACCATATTCTGATCGTGCAATGAACATATTGGATTATCTGACGGGATGGGAGAGACTTGTCAAAAAGAGAAGCAATGAAGCAATATAGAATCACGATGGAGGAGATAATCAGTTGGAACGAAAGAGGAGCAGAGGTGGATGTCTTAAGTGAAGCTCGGGAAGGGAAGCTCTCGACGTACGCAAGAGGTGAGGTGCCTGGTTGATGCCTTTGTGCCTGAGGCAATTATCGGCCCAAACCAAATGTGGAGTTGTTTGGATACTTGCATCTTCTCCTCATATACATTGTCTCTGCTATTTTTGTTGCTGATTTTTCGATCTCGCGCCTTTCAATCGCCTATGCTGCATGATTCAATTGTCGCCCTCGCGGGATTATGTCTGCCAATGACCGCGCCGCGTATATGAACGCTTCACGACCCCGCGCGGTCTCCAATCGCGTCGATTCCGAAACTCGCGGAGCATCGCCGTTACAGATCGAGAATAAGGATCCCTTGCGCCGCAGCAGCTCAAGTCAAAAACACAGAGCATCCCGAGATCAGAAGAGCATGGCCGATAAGCGCTCAGAACGCATGGTAATCACATCACGGGAAAGGGCAGTGCGAAGGAACCCTGTGAACCCTGTTAAGGAATCTATCAATGCGGCTAGCAGAGGCGATTGGGATAAGACCCGGCCCAGGAAGCCTGTTCAACTTGATGATGGGAATTCCAGTTTCCGAACTGGGGAGAAAGACCTGGCTGATTGTGAGTGCTGCGTCGCAGTTTGTCGTGGAGTGCAATGGATTTGCTGACCATGATTTTTCTCTTTACAGCACCATGGAATCCCCAAGCATCATTGATTACTCACTCGACAGCTCCCCTCGCATGTCGTGTATCAGTTCCTCCTCTAGCTTCGACGGCTCCGCAGGCCCTTCATCCTCGGCCACTTCGAGAGCTCTCACCCGATGCCCAGGAGGCGGCGATCTTGGAGGACTTGTTGTTCGTGTTCATGGGATTCGAAGGTCAATATGTTCACTACGCTAGCTCATACGACCCATCAATCGAGAAAGACCGCCTCACGGGCCCGATCTTCCAGATAGCCCCAGGCCTGGACCCGACCCTCCGTGATCTCATCCAGTCCATGTTGAAAATGGCGACTCACTACAGTGCCATGGAGGCATTTGTGGAAATTCAAAGTCGCGCTGAGTGTGGTGCTGTCAGTCACTCACTATGCGCATCTATTCGAAAGCTCCTCAAAGATTACCTGATCCTTATCGCCCAGCTCGAAGGCCAGCTGCTGAACAATCCTACATTTACCTTACACCTTCTTCATCTCCACACAATGCCTACCAGTCAATGTTTATCTCAATTATATTCGATGGGCCAGGAACTGTTGCTCAAAAATGGTCTTCTAGATGAGGAGCTCGAGGAGTCGATTGATGACTTCGATGAGGATGTTGACAATATACTTGAACAACTCAAAGAAGGGGGGGACTTAGTGCCAGGTTCTATGGCCCGCAAGAAAATGTGCAAAGGAGGCAATATTCTCGGACTCCTAACAGGGCGTCTGGCTTCATTCTCGGGTGATCCGATCACTAAAACCTTGCTTCAGACCTTACTGCGTGACGCCAGTCGGCCTTACATGGCCATGCTGAACGAATGGTTGCACCATGGCGGTATTAGAGATCCCCACGCCGAGTTCTTGGTCAAGGAACAAAAATGGATCAAACGCGAGAAACTCGAGGAAGACTACACTGATGAATATTGGGAGAAACGCTACACGATTCGAGAGAACGAGGTTCCTCCTCAGCTGAAGAGCGTGCAGGATAAAGTTCTGCTGGCTGGAAAGTATCTCAACGTGGTGCGTGAATGTGGTGGTGTCGACGTCAGCAAAGAGGTCAAAGATGTGCCGAAGACGCTCGACGATCCACGCTTCTTGGACAACGTAAATTCTGCCTACACCTATGCCAATGCTTCCCTGTTAAATCTTCTTGTCACAAAAAACTCCCTCACTACTCGATTCCGCTCCCTGAAACATTACTTCTTCCTCGATCGCTCTGATTTCTTTTCCTACTTCCTCGAGCTTGGTGCTTCCGAGCTACGAAAACCGGCACGTGCCGTCAACGAAGGGAAGCTGCAGTCACTATTGGATATTGTCCTTCGACAGCCTGGCAGCGTTGCAGCACTGGACCCGTTCAAGGAAGATGTCAAGGTGCGGATGAACAAGATCGGCCTCACGAAATGGTTGATGCAGGTTGTGAATGTTTCAGGCGTCAACCAAGAGGGCGCAGAAGCGGAGAAGCAACAAGTCTCTGCTGTCCATTCCGCTGATGAGGACAAAGATATTCTTGGATTCGATGCGCTTGAGCTGGACTATTCAGTTCCGTTCCCCCTATCGCTGGTCATTAGCCGCAAAACCGTTCTGCGGTACCAACTTATTTTCCGCCATCTTCTCTCGCTGCGCCATCTCGAGACGTTGCTAGTCACGTCCTGGGCAGACCAGAACAAAACCATCAGCTGGCGGCATAAATCCTCCGATCGACGGCTTGAAATATGGAAACGGCGGGCGTGGAACTTGCGCGCGAAGATGTTGGTTTTTGTTCAGCAGCTTTTGTACTTTTGTACGGCTGAGGTCATTGAGCCCAATTGGGTGGGTCTGATGGATCGTGTCAACAGCGTTGACGCCGACGCATCGGAGGTGGAGGAAAATTATATGAAGCAGGTCAACCGGACAGTTGATGAGTTGATGCAGGATCATGTGGACTTCTTGGATACATGTTTGAAGGAGTGCATGCTCACACAGGCTAAACTGTTGAAAGTACGTTTCTCTATACAGGCGGTGGTATTCATACTAATAACTATATAGATCCATTCGAAACTGGTGACTTGCTGCACCATGTTTGCTTCCTGGACTGCGGCATCACTTTCACGCGCCTTGGCTTCAGCCGATCCTGACTTGGCTGGAGGCAAAGTCCCTGGTGCTGATGCCAGAGGATATGATCCAACGCGGATTGGAAAACTCGAGGACACACTGAAACGATACGAGGACCATTTCTCGCGCCATCTCCGCATTTTGATGGACAGGTGAGTTATTCCCTCAAGAATTTGATTTGGTTATGTGTTCTAACACGATTATACAGCTTGAACTACTTCGCCGCAACGGAGAGTGTGGTGCTCCTGAAGCTTGCACATTCTTTGACCTCTATTAGCCGAGAGGAGAGTAAAGAGGATTGAAAGCTTGCAATGCCTTGCTCCGTGTCTTTCCCACCTCGATATCATTATCACCATAATCAACCCCCGACAGAGATGCGGTTGAGTGCTTTGATTATGGGCACAAGAAGCAAAGTGCTTCAGACCCATAATGCTTGCTCGCTGTCGCCTAAAACTCGGTGATTCCGAGACATATGCCACGGACTTCGGACTGTGGATTTTCGAACTCCGCAGCACTGAGACATTCACCGGACTCTCCCAAATAGGTCCCAATGGGCTATATCACACTCTATCAAGCCTCTCTGTGGGGTCGTGGAAACCCAGATCACTGTACTTAGAGCCATGAACCGAGTCACACCAGACATCGGGATTAATGATAATACGAGTAGCATTTCGGAACGAAATCCGGACTTACAAACAACGTGAAGTGAAGTGTATAACGAAATCTCTCAAAAGACGGAGCCCGCAAATTCCTCGGGATCGCGTCAGCAAGCGGCTTCTCACGTCAGCCGGATTTGGCCATCCAATGCCGTCAAGGTTCTTATTATTTAATTTCAATGGAATCTCTGAGATATTTGTAACCAAAGAGAAATAATCAAACACCCTACGGGACTCCAACAAAGCCGATCGACGCAAACACCACAAACATGCCAATAACCACCCTCACCTCCGTCCTCCGCATCCCATTCCCGCACCCCAACACAGCACAAGACCGCCTAACCTTGGCCCTCGGCGCCGCAGCGCTAGTCCTCTCGACCCTCGTCCTCCCCGCCGCCTACCGCGACTACAAAATCTTTAAATCCTACGGACCGGGCGGGCCACCGAACAACGCGCTGGGATGGGTAATCGTGCGCGCGCTGTTCCAGCCATTCGGGCGCGAAATGTTCAGCACGGACGAGTACGTGAAACGCGTTGCGGCAGCCGATGGCCACGGGAAGGGCGATGATGGGTTTTTGTTCTTGTCCGAGGAGCAGCTGGGGAGTCGACGTGGGGAAGAGAGGCCTGTTGTTGGTCCGCACGTTGCACCGCAGAGGCAGTTGACGCAGGTACCGGATAAGGCTGTTATGGAGGTATGTTGCGTGCCCCTTTTTCGATTAGGAAAGAGAAGGCGAGGGGTGAAGAGCTACTTGCTGATTATGTTCTTGTGCGATAGAAATTCCGTACTGTGTTCAGCGCCTTCGGACATCGGAACCATCACCTCGTGAAATTCCAAAAGTCCAATCTGGAACGCCATGCTGATGGGCTCTTTGTCGCGGATCATCTTCCTGTATTCGGGATTGCGAAAACTATGGAGCGGGAGATTGCACATGTTCATACTGGAAATGACCACTCGGTTCATGTGATTCTTGCGCCAGCTGACTGTATGATTTTCTCAATTCGTTTATTTGTTCGTGTGCTAACGTTCCTTAGGTATCAAGGTTATTGAGGCTGGTTGGGGCCAGCGTCATGCTTTCTCGGGTACATCTGCGATCTCGTTTCTTTCGCTTGGTACGAGGCCTGATATCCCGGTGGAGTATGTTTTGATATATGCGCCGCGGACGGAAGCGGAGATTGAGACGGTTATGCAGATTATCTCAGCGGGTGTCGAGTTTATGACGGGGAGGGAGGATGTGCGGTAGGTCAACGAGTGCTTTTTGGACTGATCTTATACTTGAAGGGAGTACTGGTGGTGTTCTAAGGTGGATGCATTCTTCTTCCGGTGTATGGGTTGTGCTTGGTTTCTTCCTGTTCTCTGTCTAGCTTTATATACCCTCACTCTTCGATTTATAGAAATTCATGCTGTTCATATGAGCATGTCGCAGCGACATTGCTCTTAATTGAGACTAGTACATCCTGTTGTTGGTGATGCATGTATAAGCTAATGCCCTGGAATGGCTCTATGGATATGGCATTGTATCATTGGTAGGAGTGTCTGGATATATACTATGATTAGATAGTGAATATTATGTATAGTTCTATACCGAGGAATCTACCGACCGTCATGCAATGTGATAACTATATTTTTCTCTCCTCTGTGCTAGTATCTTAAATAGTACCACGGCGACGCCTCCACGCAAGTGGATCTATAGCGCGATTGCACGCATATGGCTAGTGGAACCGAGGGAGTGGTCAAGTTCGTATTTAATAGGCAAAAAATACACATATCCACCCAGCAAATGAGACTACGAATGATATTTATCTTTTCTTTCATTTTACTACTCCATACGTATCATTGTGAAAGGAAATGTGCTTGGCGGTTGTCATGCCCAATTTAGAATGGGGCAATGAACCCGCTAGGAGCAATTCCAAAATTACCCGTTATATTCCGACTTACATCCGACGTAGGTTCCGATACTTTTTTTGGGGTTTCGGAAATAGGAAATAGGGGGGACCTTTGAAGTACAGGAATGATATTGATCTAAGAACTCCCCCAGGTTGAAGCCGAAAAAGTTAGTAGGTGGCTCCCTTACCCGAGAGATGAACCATGGCGCTGGGTTTTGAGCCAACGGCGGAGCCGGACGGGTAAGCCCTTGTCGAAATCCCGACAGTATGGATCTTCGTATATTGTACTTTGTATATGTAGGTTTCTTTCTTCCTTGCTTCGACCTGAAGAGTCTTTTTGACACGAACTTAAATAGTGCTCGGACCACATATTCTTGTATGGACCCGAGGTATAAGCGGCACTTGGATGGAAGGAACGCGTTGACATGTCGTCATGTAACTAAGTGTTATGTGAGAAGTAACCACATGCAAGTCTTCGGAATATACCCCACGACCGCAACTGAACCTTGCCTTTGTTATGGACTGTTGCTGCGGCCATGTGGGACCCGATAGCCTCGGATAATTGACCTAGAGTGAAGAAAAGCTAGTTAGCAGTACCTGCACTTAGGCATTAGGCCAGTTGAAAATAATTTCGAAGATGTTTTCTCTCGGTGAACTCGGACACCGAAGTGGATATCGCCGACGTTGTTGTGTTGTATGTTGTATGCTGTAATGTAATATTGCATACTCCGTATCTTCTCCTAAAGGCAACAAATATCCACACACGGGATGGGTATCTTTCCCGCTGCCCATCACTCGCTTTGCACCAAGCAAACAAGGTAAACGGGTGAAGTATCCAGAAGAGGGCAACGGTAATATCGATCCCTTGCCTCGGAGGTACTTCTGTCATATTGTTTTGCAGAATCTGGAGACAGGCTAAAAAATCCCTGTAGCAAATCTCCATAGTGTCCGCCACCCGGGCCAACAACGTTGCAATCTTGAAACGCAAAACCTCCAGACAAGCGGTGAGAGCGAGAGCAAAATAAGAGGGGCAGGAATAAAATCAATAAAATCCAGTGTCCAGCCCATCTGAATCCCGAGGGAATGGATACCGTAACGAGGAAGTTGCTGATCTCGTCTGTCGAACCCCACTCAATTTGAGGGGCTGTTGTTGGGGCAATTTGGGGCGTGAGATTGGACTGAACCAGCCACTTTACACCCACAGTACTGCACATTGGGCCAAGGACACGGGGCGTGGCGAGTGTCAGAAACCTGTCAAGCCGTTCGATCCAACTGTTGGGTTCCTTGTTTGCATTCCTTCACTTAAGTGACAGCGGGAACCGACGGTGATCCGTTTCCATGCCTTTGGAATCCGTGATGTAGGGCTCATTTGGCCTGTACAAAGTACATACGCAAGGGCTGGTGTGAACTCCGATCCCACGGGCTTTTCTTTTTGTCCTTGTTCTCAGTCGGCTCTCTCAGAGCCAATTCCTAACCCTTTTGTTCTCCGTATGGTGTCTCATGTCGCACAGCGGCTGTGTTGTCATTGTTTCAACCTAACGACGAAATGTTGCATAGTTTGCTTCAATCGATGGGTGGCTTTTTTTTTCATTCTCCACCGAGTTCTTGTTACATTCTTCGCTAGTCAACCCCTAGAGACCCATGGAATCATGGCGAGCAGCCTGAGCAAGGTGCGATTCAACTTTCTGTAGACTCGGACTTTCCAAGGTTAACCGCTCATGACAGCCGCGGAATTACCCACATATTACCCACCATGTTTAGCAATGCAACGATTCTTTGACGGCATGGAGATCCCAGTCTTATGGGTTTAGTCGTGGCCGGATTTGTACTCGATCCACATCGTCGGGCGCTCTTGGACCCTCCAGGAAAGTAGGTACTATGCGAGACGGCGAACTGTGCATTAGTTGACGGCACCGCCACCTAGTTTCAAGGTTCGTTAGCTTGGCTTTAAGCGGAACCAAGTCATGTCTATTCTGATACCTACCCATTCTGGTGTCAATAGCCCGGGATTATTCGTGAACTCTTCGGCTAGTCTACCGACCCGCATTTTTTTTCTTTCGTCAAGCCTTGTTGACGTACCAGTGTCCCGGAGTAGCAACAAGAGCCTCCCGTGAAGATTGTCTCACGCCATGTTTAGTAGTTCCGCTAGCAAGGATGTGTGTTTCGGAGTTGGCCCCAAGGAACGACATGAACGATCCGGAGAGGAGTTGGGAGTCCGCATTGATCGTATTTGGTTACCCATTCAGGACCCATCCGTGCCAAATCTTCGCCCGTTAAGCACCTCGTGTCTTCACAAATCCAGTATTGCATCTGGTGTGATCTTTAAAAGAGGAAATTCGATTGGGTGGACCGCTGGCCCTCCCATCCGCACAATTTGGTACGTCCCTTGTATAATTAGAAGCCCCTCCATTCAGCCTTCGCGAGCAGACGCCCAAGAGCGAATAATCCTCGCGCGAGCCGCCATCCTCTCCGAGGGTACCGCCGACGTCTTCAAGCGGCACCCGATCGCTCCAATGAAAACCCCAGCACATCAATGATCAAATCTCACTCCTTTTTCGGATATTGTGATTCGAAGCAAGATCTTGTCCTCGGGCAATTCAACCCCGCCTTGGCCAGACAAATCAGGATATATCAGCTCGGATTTTTCCTTCATCCACAACACCACTCGATTCAGGGTGACGATGGCGTATGCTAGTTCTCTCCGTTCTTTCGGGCCAAGGGCAACTGACGTTCATGGCTGCCAGGAGTCCCGATTCTGAAACGATAGAGTTAGACCGTGAATACCTCGATACGGTCACAGTCCAGGGCCGTGAGTATCAGAAATATTCGATCGATCATCGTACGTACTTTGGACCGGTCGATGAGGTAAGTCGTCCAGATTTATGTCGTGGGCTTCTCACTGATAGGCTGAACCAGGAAGAAGCACAACGACTCGAAGACCAGCAACAAGTTTTCCAAAGAATTTTCGATAATCGTTTGATCTTCCCCCCAATCCATCGACTGAAAAGAGTTCTGGACTGTGGGCATGGATCCGCATCCTGGGCCGTGGATGTTGCTGAGCAAAACCCTGACTGTGAAGTAAGATGTCCCCTTGACTGCGCCCGACGACATCCTAATATTTGGTGTTTCATAGGTCATCGGCGTAGACATTGCCCCTCACATGAGTCCAGACGACATGCCTGACAACTTATGGCTCCAGGTAAGTCAACCTCACATTTCACCACGGGGTACGGTGTGGTTTACATCATGAAAAGGCTTGACACTGCCTTTGACTCATGACTTTGTGCTTCGGGACCTCTGTGTGATCTGTCAATCTTGAACAACAGTTCTGTCCAAATGTGTAACCTCCTGAAAGACATTCGCTGACTTGTGCCGAATAGGTCGATGACTTGAACCGCCGTTTCACCTTTCCTGCAAACCATTTCGATCTTGTCCACTCTAGACTCCTTGCGACCGGTATCAACAGATCGCGATGGCCATCCTATCTTCTTGACATAGTCAGGTGCGAATACTCCAGAGCAGGTTGACCTTGCCGACATTCCAAGAGGCAGAATTTCTCCAACTGAGATACCAAGACTAACGTCAGCGGTAATCAAGGGTACTGAAGCCAGGAGGCTGGGTCCAAATGGTGGAAATATACTTCAATGTTCAATCAGACAACGGCTCAATCACTGATGAGCATGCTTTGAGGAGATGGAGCACAAAATACATGCGTGCTCTGGAGGACAGGAAAGATCTTCGGATCGGATCGAAGCTGAGGACTCTTATGACCGAGGCGGGGTTCGTCGAGGTAGACACGAAGATGATTCCTCTTCCTCTGTCTGCGTGGTCGACTGGTCGGTATTGGCTACCCAAGAAGAACGAACAAGACTGATTGAATCAATGCAGACCAACGGATGCGAGAAATCGGCCGATACAATTGTCCAAACATGCAGCAACTTCTGCGATCACTTGCACTATATCCATTGACTCAACGCTTGCATATGTCCCCAGATGCTTTCAATTCTTTGGTGGACCAAGCGCAGCAAGAGGCAGCAGACCCCACACTGAAGGCATATTTCCCACTGTAGGTATTGCTCCAATATGAAACCGAGAGACAAATTCTGACAGAGTAGGTATGTTTGCATTGGCAGGAAGCCATGAAGACATCTGTCTGGGGAGATCGGCAGGTGCGATGGCTCGATAGAAGCAACCTCTGTCGGAAGGGGGAAAAATGCTCGCAAGACAACTGGGCCGGTTATCGATGCCATCCCTCACCCAGCATATCGTACAGCTTTGGTTGTTTTGCTGTGCGCATCCTGCATTAACATGTCGCATTAGCGGAAAGATGGTTAGTTGAATGAGTGTTTTCTAATTCCACCTGTTCTTTCCTTTTGCCGTTTGTAATGCAACGGGGATTCGTATCAATAACCGTCGCTGTATGTTTGCTGAAGTCTAGCGGAGAGCTTGAGAATCTCGGTATGATTCATCGAAAGAGGACTGCATGGTCGCACAAGAACGAGTGAGACGACTCCACGGCGAGTGGAGTGAGAGAAAGCTCGTAGTCCACCGTGGTTTCTGCGGGAAGCCAACAATTCGCACATGCATCGAGTCTTGGCTTTAAGAGCCTCGTATCCACTCGATATCGGTGTTGGGGTACTGCCCAACGCGGTGGGAAAGCGAAGGTGTATTGAATGGAACACGGGGTCGAGGCATCGCTACCCTGCCTAGGGTAAGTTGAGCTTTTAGTTGACTGCTCCCAGGCAAAATGGGAGTGAAACGAAACAGGAGAAGGTTTTGAGCAGGAGGCCTGGGGGTGCAGATTAAGCTGTTGAGATCGTGCCTAGTGCGGGATACCCGACACCGTTGGCTCCCGATCCGACCTTACCCTTTAAAGAAGGGGGTTTTCGACCTCCTTACACTCCAAAGGATATACCCGATGAGCAAAGTTTGTCACGACGAAAGATGAAGAACATAGAGGAAGATGAAACAGGAGGGGACTTACCGGACTGACGGGAGAGCCAGGGAACCACCGACTTCCAGGAACACATGATTTACACCCATCTCAGACAGTATATACGGTTTGACTGACCTCAATATCAATACTAGCTGTTAAAAACGTCCATACCGACTTGACAATTGGACAGCTTCGCGCCGTCACGCCATCACGCTCTCAGGCTTCGGAGCAGACTCTCATGTTGAGAGTGATAGCCCTGAGCGACGAGCTCCCTCAAGCCTTAATGAACATCCACAACATCCGTTACACATTAAAGAGCTATCAATCTCGTGTCTTACCGATATTCTCAATGGCCGCAGGAGCTCTTATAACCAACACCCTCTTCACCGTGTTTCCCGTACGGATGTACCCAATCATAACCTCCAAACAACCAACAACTAGGAATCTAAGCTGCATATCGGGATCTAACTAGCGCTGGATCCTTGCTGATTTGTTGATTTCCTTCTTTCCTTACTCGCGAAGCGGCCATGTCGCCTCTTAGTTTCTTATTAGAGTTCCTCCCGGATGCCCCTGGCGACGCTAGCTCGAGGAGTTGCGGTATGTTGATTGCCGGAAAGACCCACAGAAGCTCGAAATGCATAAGCTACACTCTCTCCTCTTTATGGATGTGTTGGGGAGCCTTGAGGCGACAATTGGGCACAGATCTACCGAGAATGCTACCTATCGCAGTCCTTCCAAGATTCTGATTGGTCTCCTCCAGGGGCTCTAAGGCCAAATCAACAATGAAGCGGAGAATTCAGACTAGACAGCTTGCAGTTTCGATTAGTACCATCAACTAGGGAATATTGGTGCTTGGAAAGACTGTACTAGTCGATTTATGCCGAAGACTTTTCTTTTGTCTGATATTCATTTGTTTGTCTTTCCTGTACGGAGTACCTGAGACCAAAGTACCCCTACTATATGCCGATAATGAGTGACCACCAACTTAAACTACTCTTAACCATCGTTGTAATCCTTATACATACTCCGTACGCAGCAGAAATTAGCGTACAGCTAGCTAAGAGGAAGATACGCAGGCTTGACCCTGATCTAGATGTGTTGGTGCCTGAACTGCAAGGCACAAAATCCTACCCAATCGGGGAAAGCGGGGAGAAAAAAAAGTTGGCGCGGATTTTCATTTGAGCTCCGGAACAGTCGCCCATTCTTTTTCCTATCAAGTCACCACCAACAAGATGCCTTCAACACACAATAAGGAAAAGGCCTGGGATACGGATGACATCGATAAGTGGAAGGTAAGTCCAAAGCTGTCCTTCTTCCATTAAAAAATCGCTACTGACGGATCCTCGCAACAGATCGAAGAATTCAAACCCGAACACAATGCCGGAGGCAGTTTCGCCGAGGAGTCATCCTTCATGACACTATTCCCCAAATATCGTGAACAGTACTTGAAGGAAGCATGGCCGGTGATCACACGAGCGCTGGAGAAGCAGGGCATCGCCTGCACACTGGATTTGGTCGAGGGTAGCATGACAGTGAAGACGACGCGAAAGACCTACGACCCAGCAGCGATCATCAAAGCCCGGGATCTGATCAAGCTGCTTGCACGAAGCGTACCCGTGACACAAGCGATGAAGATCCTCGAAGACGGCGTGGCATGCGACGTGATCAAGATCCGCAACCAGGTGCGGAACAAAGAGCGATTCGTGAAGCGGCGACAGCGCATTCTCGGCCCGAACGGTTCAACCCTCAAAGCGCTCGAGCTGCTCACCGGCACATACATCCTGGTGCAGGGTAACACCGTGGCTGTGATGGGTCCGTTCAAGGGACTGAAGGAGGTGCGACGCATTATCGACGACTGTATGGCGAACATCCACCCAATCTACCACATCAAGGAGTTGATGATCAAGCGCGAGCTCGCCAAGGACCCGACGCTGGCGGAAGAGTCCTGGGACCGGTTTTTACCTAACTTCAAGAAGCGCACGCTGTCCAAGCGCCACGTGCCGTTCAAGATCACCGACAAGGAGAAGAAGACGTACACGCCGTTCCCGCCTGCGCCGGAGAAGAGCAAGGTCGATTTACAGATCGAGTCTGGAGAGTACTTCTTGTCAAAGGAGGCCAAGGAGCGCGTTCACAAGGAGGAGGTTGTCGAGCGACAGCGCCTCAAGCGGGACGAGAAGATGCGAGAGCGCGAGAAGGATTTCGTGGCGCCCGAGGAGGTGACGCCGGCCGATCTCGAGGAAAAGAAGAAGAAGGAGAAGAAGGAAAAGAAAGAGAAGAAGGAAAAGAAGGAAAAGAGCAAGCGGAAACGCGAGGCCGAGGAGGATGTCGACGCCGACGAGGCTGCCGAGCGCAAAGAGAAGAAGAAAAAGAAGAAGAGCAAGTCCAAGGAAGTCTCTTCCGATGGGGAATGATCTGCTCTTTGATTGTGGTATCGGTATCTTGTATCGGAATTGGCGCTTATGGCAGTGCATAGGTCTGGCGTTTAAATGTCTTGTCTCCTGGTTCTTCGTTGCAACGTTGCAACCCGTGTACGCAGCTGGTGTGTACATTTACAAAAAATATTGTTCAATACCAAGAAATGATCTACTCTACGCACACTGTTGGAATGATAATTCTGTAAAAAGCATAGACCTATTCATCGGAAAACGACAGATGTGGCTAGTCTAGCCTTGTTATTCTCTTAGGGCTGATGGCCGTTGAAACAATGAGGTCCGTCCTCTATATGTCTTTCTATGAATCGTGATATCAATGATTGTCGTGTATGAATGTCCTCTTTCCCATCTATTTCCCAATGCAATTGTGCATGTATCCCAAAAGGTATCGGAGTATCTCCAAAAACCGCAGTGTCTATATAGACAAAAACCAGAAAAGGTCAACCGCCCATGACAAATCTGAAGACAGTAGTTCAGACTGCCGCGGAAGTCTCGTCATCAGAGGACGAGGCGCTGGCATTCAGGCGACGCAACTTATCGGACAAGAACCTCTGCTGCTCTTCCTGGCTCTTCTTTAAATCAACACCCCAGAACAGAATCAAAAAGCTGGCAACGCTCAACCCAAACAAGAAGTAGAATGGCAACGAGACATTACCCGACGGGCTCGCGTCGATAATTGCACTTGAGACGATGGGTCCAATAAAAGATGAGGTTTTGCCGATGATGCTGAAGAGACTGAAGAATAGGAACTCGTGACCGCGGGGTGTAACCTCTGAAATCATAATTTGCGAGTAGCTGTACCAGGGACAGATGAAAAGGCCGTAGAACGCTTGGTAGACCTATAATCAATCAGTTAGATATTACGCACCATATGGCAGAGCGGGATTGACATACCCAGACTTCCCATGCATGATGGAAGCCGAACCTCTGGGTCCAGATACCGATCATGCCCCAGCCATCAAGTAGGATGATTCCAACGGCGACGGCGTTGAACATAGTTTTGGTTCCGAGCCTGAAGCGTTGCTGGATTGTCCAGAATGCGTATATGCCAGCACCCTAAGAGAGATTTGTCAGTTTGGAACAAATTCGCTCGCGGAATTAGAGCTCACCTGTGCAGCAATGCCAACAATAAGCAGGTATGTCAGTTCCAGAGTATTATACGAAACGATGCTGTTCTGCAAAGTTCCAATAACAGTCACAGTGGTGTTGAGAGAGTCTCCAAGTAAGAAATAACCTATTGCCACCGTTAGCCCCGTATAACCACACAACAGATAGTAGGATAAAAGTCTTACCAACTAGATAGCACAGACTCTGCTTTAAATGCCAGATCTGCTTCATAGCATGCCACAGCTGCCACATGCCTGCAACAAGGATCGACCGTTTGCCAGGGTCTTGACCCGGACGGCGTTTCTCAAGAATAAACCACGGAATCGAGACGAGCAACCACACACCAGAGACGAATGCGATCAGCACACTCACTCCCCAGTTGTTATTAGTCTCGCTATCATTGACCTTCAACCCGAACATGATGCCCACGATAATGGCCAAGATAAAGATTTCTCCGACGGACTGAACATAGAAAGCGACATTGGCAAGTTTGCTGCGCATCATGGTGTCCGCATAGTCATATTCCTCACGAGTGATGCTCCCGGCCACATATTTGTCGGCCTCTTCCTTCAATTCGATAGAGTTGCGCGCTAAGCCCGGGAACGCAGCGGTCCAGAAAGTGAGCGTGGTTTGATAGGCGATCAAGCCTACCATATATAGACCCACGCCGATACGCCACTTATCCGGGGTATGGACACCCAACCAGCCGAAGCCAATGCCCCAGGCAATAATCGACAGCGCAATCAAGATGTTGGGTCGCCAGTAACCGAAATCGGCGAAACTGCCGATTATGAGGAACACCACGACTTGGATGGCGAACGAGATTCCATTGGAGAGGAGCACGATGCTGTTGACATTACGTGGTCTACCGAGAAAGTCGAGTAGTCCATCGGCAGGGACTGCCTGGGAGAGCAAGTTTTGAAAAGCAGTCGGTGCGAAGTCTAGAACGGGGTCAGCTCCTGCCTCATATTAGATTGGGGAACGCGGATAGACCCACTGAATAGTGACAAGCCATTATTTCCAATGTAATAGCTGCAATCGTGGTTTAGTTTCCACACAGGGTCAATTCAACAAGCCACGCACGCATAATAAGCCCAGATTTCCGTCCGGGTCGTGCGATATCTCTCGTCGAATACATCCGGTGCAATCGGGTCGTCGATCTTGTTTTGGGGAAGACCATCCACCTCCACAGTGGAATGGATATTGTCTTTCTGTTGATCCATGACCGAGAAAGATAAAAGGTAAAAAGGACAAAGAAAGAAAGAAGAAAAAAAAAACGACGGAATTGGACGGGTTAAATGAAAGGCCTACAAAGTCGCCCCGCGTGCTAAAGCCATCTTGAGATGAACCAGTTGCATTGCAATTACAGTGCCGATCACGATAACCTGGATTTAGTAGGTTGGACTATATCGCGTCGGGTCTAGTTAGGGCTATCACTTGCAGAGACTTGAAAAAAGTTCCGGCCTCTCCGGTCTTGAAGTGCTTGACTACTTTATCTCGTCCTATCAGATCGTCGGATTTTGCATCTTCCGCATTTGGTGGGTTAGGTGGGTTTGGTGAGATTCGGTGGCTTCGCGAACGGACATCGAATGTCTCAGCGCCGATATTAGGGCAGGCAATAACTAGCTACGGTGTGGGAGTGAGAATATTGTTCTCTGCATCCGGGCAGTCGCTAGATATCGAAGGATTGAAGCTACAACATAAAATGGCGTGGAGCCCGAGTGAATGGACTTGAGAATAAGGTTGTCGGTGTAAATCGTATGGATACGAGGAGTTAGAGGCTAGCTGAAACATAACTGGACAGTGGCGGTGGGCTCATATCCTATCAACAGTCCAACTTCAACCTCGCGCGTCATATATGAGTAGAACCTTGGAACTACAATATCTCGTCACTAAGCGAAGAAAATAGCCCTAGGCTACATGGACTCAGACCTAAAATGTCGCGAGATAGGACTTGGAATTGTTACTTTTAATATAAACCATGTTATAACCTCAGAAGTATAATTCTAGACAGGAGTAAACAAAAGCAAAAAAATATTACAGAAAACCAGCCGATCACCGACCATCAAATGACAGACTATAGTATAAGTGAGTGAGTATCATTCAACCAATCACTCCGAATCGCCCAAGGAAAACGACACGCTTAGAAAGTGAAAGCGAGAGCGAGAGCAGCAACCAGGGCACCGGCAGCAGAGCCGGCGACACGGGTAGCAGAGCTGACGGGGACGCTTGAGGAGGCAGCGGCAGAGTCGGAGGAAGAGGAGCCGGAACCAGATCCTGAGCCGGACTTGCTGCCACCAGTGGCAGAAGCGGCGGATCCAGAGGCAGTGCGAGAGGCGAATCCAGCGGAAGCGCTCTTGGACTTGGGCTTGGTGGAGGGACGGGCACCGATGGTCACACCAGGGGCGGAGGCACTGACGGAAGAGGCAGCGGGAGAAGAGCCGGAGGCAGAGGCAGAGGCACCAGAGCCGGAGCCGGAGCCGGAGCTGGAACCAGAGCCAGAGCCAGAGCCAGAGCCAGCAGTAGTGGTGGAGGCACCGGCGGTAGCAGTCTTGTCAGCGGCCGAGGTGGAGGAAGCAACAGCAGAGCTGGAAGATGTGGAGGCCTTGCAGCTCAGGTCGTACAGAGGGGTGGTGTCGGTGGATGAACCAGTGACACCGAAGCTAGGGGCGGTAGTACCGGCATCCTCGAGAATGTACCACCAGGTGTTGGTGTTGCCCAACAGGGGGCAAGCAACCTCGTCCCAGTACTGCTTGGCGTTGGCGACGCTGGCGACAGCGAGGTTCTCGGTAGAACCGGAAGTGGGCCAGCCGGTCTCGGTGATCCAGATCTCCTTACCACCGGCAACAGCCTTGGTCTTCTCAACGCCCTTGTTGAAGAGGGACTTGGCGTCGTCAATGGAGTTGGGGTCGGTGTTCTCGTAGTAAGGGTATCCATCGAAACCGAGCCAATCAACGGCCTCAATGACGGCAGAGTTAGAGCTGTTGGTCCAGGAGTTCCAGGTGTCGACGTGGCCGATGGGGGCACCGCTCAGGGAAGTGCCGGAGATGGCGGAGCGGACCTGGGTGATGTAGTCGACAAGCTCGTCGGGGTCGATACCGAGACCAGCCTTGGCCTTGACACCAGTGACGGAGTTACGGTAAAGATCCTCACTGCCGACGGAGATACCGACGACCAGGTCTGTGAAGTCATCGCCGTAGGTGCTGATGGCGGATGTGAGGGCAGCAATCTCGTTGCTCATGTCACCGCCGGAAGCCCAGAGACCCAGGAGAAGGGTGGTCTTCTCCTTGATAGCGGCGGGAATGGCTGAGATAGGGGTGTTGGTTGTGTCACCCTGGATCATGGTGTACAGACGGGCACTGGTGAAGGCATTGTCGGTTCCAACGAGATTCTTGGCAGTTGTAAACTCGGTCTCAAAGTCGGATTGGGTCTTGACGCTGCCATCGACCTTGGTGGAGCCGTAGTTGAAACCCTGAGAGATGGCGTCGGAGGTAGCGACAGCCATCGCGAGGGCAAAGAATTGAGCGGAACGCATCTTAAATGATTGAAAAACGAGTGTTGATATGGGAGTAAGTGAAAGAGAAAGAGAGGAAGAATATATGAGAAGAAGGACCTGGATTAAAGGAGTGTAACCAGGGAAGTTCTGTACAGTTAAGATGAAGGTAGAAGTGGAAGAAGAAGTGAAAGTGGGAAATGCAAACGGAACAGAAGTAACCCTCTAAAAGCCCTCGAAAGACCGAAAGCAAGGCTGGTTCTGGCCATGAAAATTCAGTCTAGATTTCGCCACAACGTAGTTGAGTGGGTTGAAGTGGGTCCGAACACGTTGGCTTGTCCACTTTAATTCTATTTTCCGCCCTTCCATTGGTGGAACCACCGGTGGACTGATTCCAAAAATATGCATGAGAAGTGGATCTCGATGAATCCCATGGGTCCCGAGGCTGCATTCGATGATTTTGTCCGATCTCCCCGGATCTTTCCATCCGGCTTTGGAAAGTTTTTCGCATTTGAAGATGAAGATGAATAAAAGGAGATCTCATTTGTCGCAGTTGCTATGTACAGTAGTGGGTCATAGACACCTTAGAATACTAGGTAGACCCTATGCAAAGGAATATGATAGAGACACCTTGGTGGAGCACCGTGTCGTTGCATGATCGAATCCAATTCATTCCCTGGAAAGTTCCATCAGGGGTTTACTCCGTACTAATCTCCCCTATATTGTTCTACGGCAACACATTCGGTCTATTATTAACCCACCCCTATTAACTAAGCTCAACCCGTGATACTCCCCCGACCTCATTGATTTCCAACCCTTTGTACGGGGTCATTTAGAACGATCTGCTCTCGGGCAATCCTTCGACTTTACTCCGTAATGAGGTGTGATTATAGATTAATTATGGGCCGGTAGGGGGCAGGGCGTTGTCTCAACGCTGTGTTGTCGATTCTAGATGTCGAACAATGGCATTCAATTTGGATTTTCTATATGTCATCCCGTTATTATTGTTCCCTAACTATAAGTGACTATGCAGATGACCCCTTGCAGGATATTATTTTGATCTTACCACACCGGTTAGAACACGTTGTAGTGCGGACTACGTGTAGACTACTCTGTTCTTGCCCAAGTCGACTTGACCGATCATACCTGTTCTTAAGATGACCAAAAATAGGTATTCACACTTGTGTTCGAGGTCAGCAGCGTTGGTACCGGAATGTCTTACCCAGCGACTTTGGCCTTGCCGATCTTTGCTTGAGTCAAATAACATTATTTCAGATGTATGTTGTAGGTGAGGGCTATGAATAGTTCATAGGAGATATCTCCCTGTTCGGCTCTCTCTACATGTATTTTCCATCTACTTCGTGCTTCGTAATCCGAAATGGATGGGTTACATTCTTCGATAGGGGCCTCAATGTCCGTTACCCAACCCCAACACGAGCCTTTTAGGTCATTTCCGTCCAAATTCACATTATAGTCTCGCATTGAATCGAGTGACTGGTAGTCCAATACCAATTTGTTCATCAATATTTGTTATGTATGATTAGGCATGTATTGTTCACTGTAGCAAAATGCCTGCTATCGGCGATAACCAACTAGAAGTGGGGTAATTGCCCACGGGGACCTAAGGTAACATCGAAGGTGTCTCAATTCCCCTTTCTCTACGCCCATCTGAAACCATGGCAATTGACGAAAAGGTTCAAGCGGTCTTGAACAAAACGGTCCTCCGTTATCGCGGCCCAGGAGGTGCCATCGCTGTCGTCAAAGATGGCGAGGTCATCGGCCAGCGTGTCTGGGGATTCGCCGATCTCGACCAGCGAATTCCCATGACAGCTCAAACGCAAATCCCCATCTGTTCGATTACAAAACAATTTGTGTGTGCGTTGTTGATCGACCTGGAGCGCAATCCAACCCCAACACTAGCTGCAAAGGGCGATGTCCGGAAGCAGCTCTCAGATCATCTCGCCGAAATACTAAGCCCGGAGCTCACTTCTGACGGTGAACTGACAATTGATCGCTTATGCGACATGCAATCCGGCATGCGCGACTACTGGGCTATGACCACACTATGGGGGTCCAAACCCGACGATGAGTTCCTGATAGCTAGAGACTGCGGCCCACTGCTTGCCCGAACCAAGTCATTCATGTTCCAGCCGGGAACGGAGTATTCCTACTGCAATGTCAATTTCCACGTCCTTGCCCGAATCATCGAGCGAGCTACGGGCGAGTCTCTTGCCAAATTGCTCGAAGAGCGGATACTCCGACCGGCTGGTATGAGCACGGCATTCCTTTGCCCCAACACCGCACATCACCCACCGCCCTGTGTCGGGTATGAGGGCGACGAGCAGCACGGCTTCACAGCCGCTGTCAATAGGATGGAATGGTCCGGTGATGCTGGACTAGTGGCTTCACTCGCTGATATGATCGAGTACGAGAAGTATCTCGATCGCTGTTACGCTGATCCGCAGAGCTGGTACCACACCGCGATCGCTGCTCCGAAGTTTAAAGATGGCACTCCTGCAAAATACCGTTATGGGCTAGATCACGCTGACATCGCCGGCGTGAACACCATTGGACACGGTGGAGCGTTGCGAGGGTATCGACTGCATCGGCGACACGCTCCACGCGAGCGTTTGTCCGTCGTTGTTATGTCTAACAGTGACTTCGGTGCATTCGGCCCCAATATGGAGATCCTCCACGAGCTCTTGGGAATACCTAAGCCTGTGGCATCAACCGTCCAGCCGGCCGCGGACTGGGTCGGCGCGTTTCTTGATCAGGATACTCAGCTGTCGATTGTCATCACCAAAGGCGCACGGGATGGAGAGGTGGCTATCAGATACGACGGGTCGTCCGAGCCTATCAAGCTTAGTGCACCGAATCATGGGAAGTCTGATTCCATGGTCGCGACGATTGATGGAGATTTTTTGAGTATTCATCGTGTGGTAGATAACCGGATACTCAGTGCTCGGCGTATTGTCCCGAAAGAATCGATCCTGAAAGGGACTTCTTTCCAGGGTGTCTATCACTGTGCCGAGATTGAATCTACCTTCCATTGCACTGGCGAGGATGGCATGCTATACGGTGCGTTTGATGGATATCTGGGTCAAGGAAATGCAACTCCCATGAAATATCTGGGAGATGACGTCTGGGTGTTGACTTGCCCACGTGGTTTGGATGCGCCAGCTCCGGGAGACTGGACCGTTGTCTTTTCTCGGGATGAGCATGATGCAATCCAAGGGTTTACTATTGGTTGTTGGTTGGCGAGGAGGCTTGACTATGTGAAGAGAGCCTGAGGCTTCTATTCTACTATGCAGAGAAACGATTATTCATGTCCTTGATCCTCTGTCCCTTTGTATATATGAATTACACGCAAATTCCAAGATGCTAGCGACTGACAGCGACGCACTAAAAAGTGTCAAAATCGCAGTCGTATTTAGTGCCTACATATAAAAATATATACAGTATCAACGGTCATTGTCAGAAGACACTTTCTGCATGTTTAATGCTCAGAAACAAAGATACCGGCCATCCCCATGCCCTATTCAAAACAATTAGTATATTTCAATACTTGAGGTCGTGATAATCGAAGGTAACTTACAGTGCCCACACACATCGAAGTCACAGCAATCCGCTTATCCTGTCGACGCAGCTCAGACAGAGCAGTGACGACCTGACGTGCACCAGTGGCGCCCAGAGGGTGACCAAAAGCACTTTGAGACATCAGCACGGCGTCGATCAAATCTGGTCGGAGATCACTTACATAGCACCACCACGCGGGTTCACCTTGGATTCATCCAAGCCTAGCTTGTTAACACAGTAAACACCCTGTAATGACGTATGTTAGTCTTGCTTAATGTAAAGTCACATGGTAAACTTACCATTGAGGCAAAGGCCTCGTTAATCTCAAAAATATCAATGTCATCCTTGCTCAGGTTGAACTTATTCAGAATCTTAGGGATGGCAAGGGATGGGCCAATCCCCATGATCCTAGGCTCCAGACCAGAAACAGTAGCACCACAGAACTTGGCAACAATCGGCTGACCGAGCTCCTGGGCGCGCGAGCGTTTCATGAGAACCAGCGCAGCAGCACCATCGGTAATCTGACTGGCGTTACCGCCGGTGGTGGCACTAGGGGCCCACTGCGGGAAGGCAGCGCGGACCTTGCCGAGGGACTCAGGGGTCGTGCCGTAGCGGATACCGTCGTCGCGATCAACGACGATATCCTTCACCTCGCCGGTCTTGGGGTCCTTAATTTGAGTCTTGACGGGTACAATCTCGTCATCAAGCCATCCGGCCTTCTGGGCGCGCTCAGCCTTCTGGAAACTGTTGGCGGCGAACCTGTCGTGCTGCTCGCGCGTGATATTGAACTGGTTAGCTACATTCTCCGAGGTCTGGCCCATGGGTAGGGAGTTCTGGGATGCGATCGGGTGCTTGGCGATGCGCTCGGACATTTCAGGGGCGCCGCCGTCGGCGTTCTTGCTCATGCTCTCGGCTCCAACGGCCACTCCGACATCGATGGATCCGGCGATGATTTGGTTGGCGATGTTTTGCACGGCTAGAAGTCCCGAGGAGCAGAATCGGTTGGCGATGGAGGCGGCTGCTGTTACGGGATAGCCTGCTGCCAGCACCGCGGAGCGGGCGACATATGCCGAACCGGGGCAGAGGACGTTGCCAACGCAGACATCTTCAACGAGGTTGGGGTCCAGATTGGATTTCTCGCGGACGGTCTGCTTGATGAATTAATTACTGCAATTTTCGCCTCTAATCATGGAGGAAAAAGTACCGTGAGGAGTGAGATGAGGAGATCATCTACGGAGGTATCTTTCAATCCACCTTTGCGGGCCTTGGTGAGCGGCGTACGGGCCAGGTAAGTGATAACCTGCCGATTATTGATTAATTATGGCAATGAAGTTGTAGCTGCAATCGACGACATACCACATCATCTGGGTTCTTTGCCAAAAGCTTCTGGCGGGCTGAGCCAGGAGCTGCCAACTGGTTGGCGACGGAGCTTAAACGTTGTTGCGGTGAAGACATTGTAGGGTATCAAGCAGAATTATGAATGAGCTCAAGAACAAAACAAAGAGAAAAACCGTTTTTAATATTCGCTGCAGATATATATCTCTTACTAAAAAAGAACCGCGGCTTCTCCAGACATCTTCCACTCCGAGGACTCTCATCGTACAATTTGAGCCGACTGGAAGTGCCGGGACTTCGGGGGTCACACGGTGTATGATACTGTAATTTAGCGATCCTCGGCTTGTAATGGAAGACTGTGATTGGTAAGTTTGTGGATTCGTAGACGTTTCATGGTCCCACATGTACGTGTACTTTGGCTTCAGTGTTGATCAAGGGGTGAGGATATTGAGAAAGACATGGGAGAAGTCAAGAATACTCTCATATCTTGTCCTTAGTACCTTGATGTGACCTCATCTCCCAAGAACAATCTTGAAGCCCTAGAAGAAGTGTTAAGCTCTTAAAACCGGGGAAATCTTAAGCTTTCCCGGGGAGACCTCGGGAGGATTATGGGGGATTTCCCGTAGACCCCACTGTGAATTACATTGTAAAGAGAAGATCCTTTGGTAGGAACGGCAGATCAAGTCTGGCTAGCTTCCGTTATTAGGGCTATGCTTGAGCATCTTTATATCCCTTGCCATGCCAGTTCCTGAGAGCTTCGAATTTCCACTAGGCAGAGAATAGGGGAGACACCTGCGAGGCACCCGTTGGAAAGAAATCACCCATTTTATCGAGAAATTTGTCTGGTGATTGACTTGACAAGTATTTGACTAGAAAGAACTCGGCCTTCTCTCTCCCAATGGACATTTTCTCTGAAGTCAGCGCGCCTGCTGTAGTCATGGCATCCGCCATGTCGGTGGCCGCTGGTGCTTATCTGAATGCGAAGCTTGCCATTGCCACTGATTTGCGAACAATATACAGCGACAAGGCTACTGCGAAGCGGCTAAACGAGCGCATTGCGGAGCTCGACGGCTCAACAACCATCTATAAGATACTCGAGCGGGCGGTGGAGGTTGAAGGACGGGCTGCTACCGATGCGCTCTGGTTTGAGCAGAAGACGTGGTCATACAGTCAACTGAAAGACTGTCAGTATATGCCTCTGTCGGGAGAACACATCGCATCTGATTGCTAATGCGCCTGTCTGTAGTGGTCGACAGAATGGCTGCTTTTTTGAAGAGCCGTGATATCAACCCCGGTGATACAGTGGGTGTTTTCACTACCAACTCACCGGAGATGGTCGTGACTGTGTATGCTCTGTCAAAATTAGGTACTGTGGCAGCAATGATCAACACCAACCTGCGAGGTTTGTTAACCATCCAATTCCAAGCTAGAAGAATACTGTTGACATTAGTGATAGACGATACTTTTATCCATTGCGTCAACGTCTCCGGCTCTAAGTTGATCATCTCAACAGCAGATTTGTCTCAAGATGTCTGCGTCGACCTACCACACTTCACACTCAACCTGCACTCATTCGAAGGCACCGAAACAGATCCAGTCGAGCTGATCTCCTCGGAAACTCTGCAGCAATTCTCTCCATCAGGACTTGCAGCAGCCAAGCGCAGCCCAAAAGACCTCTCCCTCCTGATCTACACATCGGGAACAACTGGAAAACCCAAAGCCTGCGCGATCCGCAACATGCTAACCCTGATCACCTCCACCCCGCTCTCAGCGGACGCCAACAACCCCTCAAAGTACCACCCATTCCGCGTCTACTCTCCTCTACCCCTCTTCCACGGCACGGCCTTCTTCATCGGCCTATGCACCGCCCTCGGTAACGGAGGCACATTATGCCTCGGGCGAAGATTCTCCGCCTCACGGTTCTGGAAGGAGGTACACGACTCAGGTGCAACCCGCATACTCTACATCGGCGAGTTATGCCGGTATCTTCTCGCAACGCCGCCATCACCGTACGACCAGGACCACAAGTGCATCGTGGCGAGCGGGAACGGGCTGCGCGGGGAGATATGGGAGAAGTTCCGTAAGCGCTTCAATGTCCCCGAGATCCGCGAGTTCTACCGCTCAACCGAGGGGGTCGCCAAATTCGACAACCATGGTGTTGGAGCTTGGGGTGCGGGCAAAGTCGGGTTTTCTGGGCCCATCCGCCGCTTCTTGGAAGATGATACTTTCGTCGTCAAGTATGATACCGATACGGAGATGCCGTACCGTGATCCTGTCACTGGATTTTGTGTGAGGGCTGCTCTCGGACAGGAGGGTGAGGTAATTGGGCGCGTCCGGGACCGTGGGATGCTGATTGAGTATCTGGGTAATGAGGGTGCGACGGAAGAGAAGCTTCTGCGTGATGTGTTTCGGAAGGGGGATCTGTTCCAGCGGACTGGTGACCTGGTTGTTCAGGAGAAATCTGGGTGGGTGAAGTTTCAGGACCGGGTTGGTGACACTTTCCGCTGGAAGGGTGAGAACGTTAGCGCAGGAGAGATTCGGGACCATATTTGCCGGATTGAAGGTGTCCATGATGCTGTGGTATATGGTGTAAAGTTGAGTGGGTATGTATTCAGGCCGTCTTGTTCTTTCGTTTTGGTGAGATCGCATTACTGATAGTCTCCACCAGGTATGATGGTCAAGCTGGAGCCGCTGGTATCACGCTGGTATCCCCAGCAGCTGAGACAGAATTGATGTCGACCTTGTACAAGGCACTCAGGAAGAAGGGTGTTCCTTCGTACGCTTTGCCTCGATTGGTCCGACTCACTGAGAAGTAAGCATTCCCTTGATTGCAATAATTTGGCCGTGGCTAATCAAATTATAATATACAGGGTTGCCACAGGTGTCACTTTCAAGCAGGCTAAAGGTGATCTGGCGAAGAAGGGCTGGAATCCTCGCCAGCATTGTGGCGGTGATATTTTGTACTGGTTGGATGGCACAAAGTATCAAAAGTTGGAAGAACAAAGTTGGGCAGAGATTGAGAATGGCAAAGCCAAAATCTGAACCTTGACTCTTTATGATAAATCCGATGCTTGTCGTCTTGTTAAACAACCATACCCATAGACTCGGATGAACAGAAACCATATTGTATCTGTCGCAAGCAAATACTAATAAGGTTTTAGTAGGTGGATCTATCCAAGTGGGTCCAGTACATCCATCCATGGATACTGTAGGAGATGAATGGCAGCGATAGTGGAGTCCGGGGATATATATCCATGATGTAGTACTACATGTAGCAGTGCCTACATATGTAGATGCTCCTGAAGATCCTCTTCTATCGAGATAAATCGTGCCTAAAAAGTCGTGTAGACATGTGGCACAGAAACTCGCACAGAAGCAGCAAATCCATGATGCTGTATAGGAAGATCTGGACTAGTAGTTCCATCATAGGCTTTCTGCGCGGACATTACAAATGCTGGCGAAGGAATTTCAGAGAAGGACATTACTGAAACGTTGCTTCTGCATTGGCTAAAGAACTGCATCGTGACGGAGGCCTGGTGCAATTTTGTTCTCTGCGTTGAGATGACGGAAGTAGCCAAGGAAATCAGTAGTGCGCTGGAGCTAAGCAGTCCATCGAAAGCTAGAAATTTATTTTACCTGCAAAGATTGATCACTGAGGCATCTTCCAATGATGGATCCTCTATTCATTGTATCTTCTATAGCGGCCGGATACTCATAAAGTTCGAAGGAATACTAATTCAGATTCCGTAGCAAGACGAGAATGGCTTTAGACTCCTCCTACGACGAGTCATCACCGAATAAAGGCTGTACATACACAAGTACCTATTGTTCAAGGTGTTTCTCGACTCATGGTAGCTTATTAGGTACTCCGTAATATTTCTGACGTCATCTTTAGAGAACGCGGGCGAAGAGCTTTGATTCGTCTAGAAGCGATTTCTGCGCCCATCTCGCTCTTTTTTCTGAACTCATTTCTGAAGCAAGTTAAGCGCAGCATGAAACTTCTTCTTCGTATTAATCGACCACTGACTTTGATTCGTGATTTCATTCTAATATTCTGGGGTACAATCTCTAAAAGGAGTATTAATTAATCAACTCGGCCTTAGTGAGACTACCTGTCCTAGCGGCCTTGTAAATGAGCTCATCGATGGTCGATCCGACGTAATAAGATGTTTTCTTGTGGTGGTTGTGGGTGGCCCACCCATGTCAAGGGATGCTCATGACTTAAGTCGGATGTTCGAGTGATGCGGGAAGTTCAACAACTAAGAGAACAGCTTCCGTAGCTTGGAATGGATGTCACTTTAGAAATGAGATGATCAATAAAAATCCCTGGCATGTTTAGGTGCTGTGCCTGGCATTCGGATGCCGATCATTGATAAGGAACTGGAGTTCGGAGTACGGAGTACCTATAGTGGGTCGGATCACCTATGTTGTAGCATGGGACGAATGTTCATGTGTAGTAGAATAAGATGAAATTACGGACTGGTATAGAGATAGAATCTCTCTAGCAAGGATTCTTGTATCCCTCAGCCACACCCTGCAGGTACATGAGGCGTAGAACCATGGGGCTACAGAAACGGTATAGATCTGCCGCTGGGATCACGTGTGGAGGCGTCATCAAGTGACTCTCTTTCTCCTCAACCCCAACTTCTATCTCCTAATCCCAACTCCACACCTTGTCTGAGCTGGAACCCACTCTTTTCCTGACATTCGACTGCACATACCTGAGTGACTTACCTTCGTGGCCATTTTCCCGACCGAACTACAACGGTCACAGCCATGAAGTTCTTATCAGCCGCCAGCCTCCTGGTTCTTACCGCTCCTCTTGCAAATGCAGCCGCGTTCTCTATCTTCGATCCTACGCAAGCTTCACTCAAGGTGACCGATAATGGGAAGTATCCAGTCAATGGTGAAAATCCCTTGCAGTACTGTGCCAAACCAGACAATTACAAGCTCGAGATCGAGTCGGTGGATCTGGCACCCAACCCGCCTCTACCGTACGTCATCCACGAAGATTGTTCTCTAAATGTAGTAGATTTAACTAGCTAACACTTTGGCGATAACAGAGGGCAGAAGTTGACAATCTCGGCCAAAGGTACCTTGCTCGAGAGAATCGAGAAGGGCGCTACCGTGAACCTGGAAGTGAAGTGGGGTCTCATCACTTTGATCAAGCAGACCGTCGACCTATGCGACGAGCTTAAAAATGTGGATATGGAGTGCCCCCTAGAGAAGGGCGAGATGATCTTGACGAAGGAGGTGGAACTGCCTAAGCAGATCCCACCGGTACGTTGTCTTTACAACCGTTTGAAAGTTAAGCAAGCAGCTAATGTGTTCATTAAAGGGCAAATACTCCGTTCTCGCCGATGTTTACGACAAGGACCAGGAGCAAGTCACCTGCCTCAAGGCAGATGACATCGTGTTCCACCTTTAATCCTGTCTATCTTAGACATTGCTTTGCATCCACTTACCAGGTGGCATCTCTCGATTTGCTGAACTGTCAATGTCATTAGCTTATGTGCTTGACTGGGGTTCAAACATCCGCAATGCTCTTTCCATGCCCCTCTCATGACTACTTCAATATTCGCATCTGTTATTTCAAGTTCTATAACGCTTTGCAGTACATTCGGATATCATTTGGATTTTTTCATTTCTACGCTCTTTGCATCTGCTATCTTTTTACAATCGTCTGTATACACTTTAGCGAGTACGACTGTAAACGTGACAGCTACTACCTCTGTCCGTGGCTACAATTTACAATCACATCTCCACTGATTACGCAACGTATGTTAAATCAATTCTGTATACGGAGTAGGCGCAAAGAGAATATATGTAAAGGGTACGCAAACTCGTTCCAGTTGCGTTGGGTATCTTCCCTATCTGATATTTCCATGTTTCCTTTCCAATTATACTCAAGCGCCGACATCGTCAATGATGGGACCGCAGGTGTTGTAAACCCTGGAGGCGGAACGGCGCCACCAAATCGCGATTTCCCGGCTAAATGACAAAGACAAAGACCCATGTAAAGCAAGCCTACTCTCCAAACAGACGGCGGACACGCTTGAGAACACTGTCCTTCTCCGGGTCGTAGGGGTGGTCTTTACTGGGAATTTCAAGGACAGCTGGGAACGGATCGGCGAATGCGTCGACGCTATGGCGGATGCGTTCTGCGATCTGAGGTTGAGACACTCGTTAGCGGATATGTAGGCAATGAGATGGGTGCACTGAAATAGTGCAATCTATCGAAAAGCAACTCACATGCTGGTTAATCAAGAGCACAGCAATGTCTTTCCTCTCCTGGGTGAAGTTCTGGAAGGCCTGTTCGATCTCCGAGGTCTCGGTCTTGGAATCAACGACAAGGAAGTTTCTCTGGGAGCCTGGTGGTTCGGTAACATGCTATTAAAAGAGCCAGCACATTAGAATGGCTTCTCATATAAATGTCATAGAGACGTGACGTAGATGGGGTAGTGAACATTATCATACCCCGATGCCTGCGAGCAAAAGACCAGTAACCGAGCTGCATGATAGGTTGAGCTAGTTAGCTGGGCGCGATCTTTTGGAAGACAAGCAATCTGGACGAAGGGTCTTTACTCTTCATCACCAATGACAGCAAGGAATTGCCGCTCCTGGTGTACCGAGTTAGCGATCGGAGGGGTCATTCCATTGAATCAATGCCAGGTACCTTGTATGTTGCGGCCGATACCGCCATGACGAGAAAAAAAGAAAAGAAGGACCTGAGATTTCCGAGATACACAATCTTCGAACTGGCAGTTCGAGATGGATCAAGTAAATGACAGATCTGGTGCAGCTGTCCGTTGATCGCCGTGGTTATCGCCGGGAGCTTCTCATTACATAAGCTGATGCAATTTCTCAGATTTCAATGTTGTTTACTCCAGGGCTTCATCGTCCGCAACACAATCGTGCAATAACTCTTGACTCAACTGCTCCTCACCTTTGATGTCTTTGAATTACCTTCTTAACTAAGACGAAGCTGCTGAGGAACAGCTTCCGTCTACTACGACCCCCGTCCTCCGACATGCCTCGACTTGTACGCCGCCGCCCGCTCTCCGAGCGCATACTAGCACGCCTGAACCCGTATGACTTTCTGCTTTGGCTTTCCGAGGAATTTGAAGGTGGTGATTGGGACCAGCTAGAGAAAAACTGGGCTTTTCCCATTGGTATTGCGCTCAACGTGATATTCCTCATCGCGCGAGCAAGTAGCCGATCCGGTGGTGGTAGCAGGGCTTTTGACGATGTGTTCGGCGAGGACGATGGCACATCCCTATTTGGGTGGCTTGTAAGTCATTCTTCCCGGCTTTGTACCTTTTATGTTGCCTATCTTTTCACGAGATTCATGACAAGCTAATCGGCCGTGGTTGTTCTACCTAGGCCTCATTCATCGTCCATCTGATGGCCCTTGCCTCTACGGGCAATGCTATCTACACATTCCAGAAGAAGAGACGCTATCGCTTGTTTGAGAACTCTATTGATAACAACCCGGCGACACCATCAGCACATCGTGTACGGGTTGATTCAAGCCCCGTGATGCCGTCTCCGCTGCGCTACATTGCCAAGGCGCTTTCAACAGAACCGGCACACTCGAGGGCCCACCCTGATGCACAGCGAGATGTCTGGGAGCTTGCAATCTGGGACCCTTCGCCACTTTGTCTCCGGCTCTTTTGCCTCTTCAGCCCAGGGCACGTCTTGGTATATTGGCTGTTCCTTCCGACGCAGCTCTCAGATCCACGCCCCAGCGTGACGATTGTGACGACGATCGTTTTGACCGCTCTTCTGTCCGTGCAGATGTCCTTCATCTCTTCTTCTTATACACAGCAAGCTAAGGACCAGAAGATTGTACACCAAGAGGTCTTCAAAGAATATGACACTAAATATGTGCAACCTCGGACACATCCGTTGATGAGAGATGTTGGGACGCAGTTCTCGGATGAACCACCAAAGACCGAGGAGGAGTGCAATAGGGTTGAGACTTATAGCCCGGCTCACATCATTAACCGTGGTTTCAAGACCAGTCCCAACCCTAATTACCTCAAGCACGTCGATCCAGAAGGTTTCACCCCAGTCCGTCAGCCAACTGCATCTACTCCCACCTCTATATTCCAAGGCCCACCCACCTACACCCCGAGCATGTCTCGAGATGGCTCGCCCATAGCTCGAGGCACTAGCCGCACAACAATGCGACAACCGCAGTTCCGATCTACTGCAACAACATCAACAGGTGATGGAGGAAGTCTTGGTATTTACAGCCATGCTAACTCTCCACTGAGGAAGTCCGCGACAACTTCATTTGATCGCCGCTTACAAAACAACGGAGACTTTGTTTACAAGGAGCGTGGTACAACTCCCTTGATGCGGAGTTCCAGTCCGCTGAAGAGAAGCAGTGTACCGGGAGGAATGAATCCAGGTGGCCCAGCCACCGTCAATAGATCAGATAAGCTCAACACTCGGTACTAAGACGAACGAATGACCAATTCCATCTCCACTAGCATGAAACGTCGTCGATCCAGATACGTCAGATGCGGAGTCTTCTCCAAGCCATGCGCACCAATGACACGATAGCAGCACCCTTCGTACATATATCCCATCGTTAATTGAGGCTATACCCAATACAGTCCATTTGACGTTTTGTTTCATGGCATTCATTCAGGTCCACCACGCTGGGGAATGCAAGCTGCTTATCTAGAGATTAGGGTCCAAGGCATTTGCTTTCTTTGCGATCGCTCGATTTTGATCTCTGATTTGATTGACTTCGTTCATTGTATTAAATCCATTGGGCGGCTATCTTGCCTCGGAGTCCTTAAGTTTGCAGTCCACTACGTCCACTAAGTCTGGATCGTGCTTTCTTTTCAACGTTCAGTCTTCGCAACTTCCATGCACAGATGATGCAATCTATTTTTAACATGTGGGAGGAAACTGTCATTCCAGATGCCGGTGGGACATTTCAACCGGCATTCACCCCAGGGGCTGGCATTCCTAATCACCGACCTGGCATTCCGATAAACCAGGGTCCAGAGCACATTATTCTTACGCGTTATGAGCACGATCACCTATGAAGATCTCTCAATAGCCAGTCTTTTTGGATCGCCCCGCTCCCCTGAGTCTCATATCCTCTGACTGTCGCCGACCGACATACATCTTTGCTCAGAAAAACCAGCACAGGGAAAGACCACTCTCTCCTCACTCCTACACGGCATGGGCTAGGACAACTAGACTGTGCTGTGCCCGTAGCATTTGCCACCCCGACCACAATCGCTGCCAGCTTCAGCCCAAAATGGACGATGCTCATGTCAAATTGCCCGATGGACACCTGGTGAATCTCTCACCACGATCTATACGCCTAGGTGCGTACAAAGCGTATCGAGTTGAATACAACCCCTCGAAAGAGCTCTCGGCAACACCTCCACCTCGATATCCGCAAGAAAAAAGATCACCAGAATATGCCATCGCAGGAGGCACACCGGCAAATATATCTCAACTGCCAAAAGCTACCAAGCTGCCTATTCCGAGGAGTTTCACTGAGAGGCTTAACGATAATTCGAGTCAAACGCCTAGTCCGACTGCACTTCCTAAACTGACCCCATCCAGCCGCTCCCTGGGACGGCTCGGTGATCAGTCTAAAACATTGGACAAAGGTCATGATCAATACTGGAGAAAAATCCGGGATAAATTGGAGGATTCGCCGTTGTTAGCAAGACGTGCCAGGAGCAAGGGCAGTGACATTAGCCAATCTCCTAACTCGCGCATCTCCTATCACCGCAGCAGACTCCCGGCAAGCACTAGCCAAGATCAAACAAGCTCCCGGGCAGGTAGTGCACCATCAGGCATTCCGGGTCCAAACACTGTCAATACCGGTCCCGCACAGGGGTCGAGGAACGATGCCCCCACTACCCTTCCTGTGGACGGCCAAAATAAATGGCGGAAGGAAGACGACCAATGGGTCATCTTGGATGCCACCGAAACATCACCCCATAAATCTGTGAGAACAGACGCAACGAGCAATTCCAGCCTTCGATCTCATCCTTCCGTTTCGCCAGTATCCGCCGAGGACAGTTCTATCACCGACTGGGAAGACCGATTCGTTGTGAATATGCCAACTGCAAAAGATCCCAATCCCCCAACGATGACGGCGCAACAAATTGCCGAGTATCAAAGAAGCATTGAAAGAGTACACCGGGACGGTGGCCAAATGGCAGACCCGAACACAGTGCCTAGTCGTAACGTGTCTCCTGAGATCAGATTCAACCCTAGCGAACAAAGAATCCAGAGCCCAAGGGAAATAACCACATATGATGGGGCATACGAGAGGCGTCAAGTGCCGATCTTGTCGCAGGAGGAACATTACTCCTCGCCGCAGCCTCAGCAAAATTCTCAGCCGGAGCAACTTTCACAGCCTCAACCCCAGCAACCCCAGCCCTTGACTGCATCGCAACGCCAAGTAGCTAACCACTACTACAGCCCTGATGAGATCGGGTATAATCGAATTAGCACAATTTGGGAAGAATCGCCCACAAAGCTCAAGGATAAGCGACACCCCCAAAACGCCGACGGGTCTTTTTTAGGGTGCCGGGAAATATCCGGGGAGAAGAATCCAGACGAAATCCTCAGGTTCGCTTCCCTAGACGATGCGAGTCTGCATCCACTCCCATTGGCCCTGGGTTCCAAGAAGAAGCAAAAGGCGTCGAAGGAAGTGAAGATAGCAACAGACCGAGAAACCACCAACAGAGTCGAGGAGACCGTGATCTCTCAAGAAGACCGACTACAAACTTCTCAGAATTCGAGACCTGCCCAATGCTCGAAGCCGTCAGCCATGTACCAGGATCGGAGTTTCTCCCAGAACCCGTCCCCAATCCCGCGGACGAGGTCACAGGACTCGAGCAAGGAGAATTACCATCCTACCAGCAATACACCCGAGCGATCCGGAAGTCTAGAAGAAAGTCGGGGAGACGACGATGTGTTCATTATCACACCCACTATCACACGCACTATGATTCCCACGCCCGACAAGAAAGCATCTTCGCCAAAGCCGCAAGGGTTGCGTCGTCCTGGTGGCACAAACACAGTCACCGCCGAGGCTATCAAAGCCGTTCGGGCAAAGGCCCAGATGGTCTCTACACCGTCGGGGTTGCGGCCCGGGGGACCCAAAATGGATATCAAGCCAACAGGGCGTACCTTGACAACTTCCCAAACGTTGCCACTCAGCAGCACATCCGCCACACTGAAAAGCCAAGACGACGAGAGTCGAAACCAAGATCATCCGCAAGATCGCAATCCGGAACGAGCAGCAGGTACAACGTCGAATACTATCCGTGGCTTCATCCGTACCACCGGGCGGGCAAAACCTTCCGGGCTGGCTAGATCATCTACAGATAGCCTTGCTACAATCCTGCGCAACAGGACCGAGTCCCTCCGTACACGCGCCGAGTCTCTGCGGAATGGTTCGGGGTCGCCCCAGCGTGCGAACCAGAAGCAATCGCCAAGTCCTCAGCCGATTCTTCCGTCCAGGGACAATTCGGAATCATCACGATCGGAACGGTCATTTCAGTCCAAAGAAACCCCAACCGCCACGCCAAACAGGCCCCCTTCGCCAAACAGGCCCGCTTCGCCGCCCAAAACTGCTTTGACGGAAAACAAACCCGACGAACCTTCAGCACGACCGACTGCACCAAGCAAACCAGTTAAGAAAAAGGTGACCTTATCGGAGGGATCCCCTTCGTCAACGAAACCCGACAAGCCTCCTACATCAACCAAAAAGATCTCCGCACTAGCAAAGCCGTCTAAGTTGGATAAAATCCCCAAGCCTACAAAAACAGCCGCGTCTGAAAAGCCTCCTCCCCCGAAGACGAAGACCCCTGATACTTCACCAAAAAAGGAAGTGCAGGTGAAGTCCCTGCCTCGTCTCCAGACCTCCGGTAAAGTTTTGGAAATCGCGGAGCTCGATGGCCTTCAGGTTTCGAGTCCCAAGGAGTCTCTTCAATCCAACATTACAGACTTCTCTACCGATATAGGCGACATGCACTCCGAAGACAAGGATAACTCCGAGGGCCAAGGACTCAACCCTTTGGCCCTTTCACTTATTTTCAATATTCTTGTCGTTGCCGTCACCCAAGTGAACAAAGCTGTGCGAATGGGCACTGACAACCCTTACGTCAAATGTGTGGCCAATAACACCCTGAACATGACCAGTCACTGTTGGCATGTCTCCAAATGCATATATACCGTGGTGTCTCGCTACCGGGCCACAGGCACCTGGCCCAAGCCTCGCAGTGACCAGGCTATCAGTCGGTTCATGGTGGAGCTTCTTCAAGCCATTGTGTATCTCTTGGTTCTTGGGTTTGCGGCTATGCTAATAGCCCGTACTATTGGCTACGTTGTTCTCGTGAGCAGCTGGATTGCATGGTTTGTTCGACCGTTTGCATGGGCCTTCCAGTGTGTTGGTCGTGCCCTGATAATGTAAAATTAGACAGATATTTAGCTCTATGCTTGTACAAGATTGTTTCTCTGGGAGTCTGAGTTTGGAAGGGGGACGTTCGTCGTTTTTGGTGCTTTCGGGTCTTTGTCCTGGTCTCAAGCGGTTCTACCTACTCACCTAATTGTGTCTTTCGGCTGTATTCCTAGCTTATCATTAAATAGGTCTCAAACTTGGATATTCTATATGGAATCATTCCTCCTGTAGTAGTAGGAATTTATATTGATCTTGATCTTCTTGACTTAAAACCTAGAGACAGAAGCCGAAGACCCATGTTGAAGAGGGAAATAAAATGACATCTAACTTTTCTCGTGTCCCCCAAATCCGGAATTCAATCTTGTGTATGATATTCTCTCTCTTTTTCTCTTCCCGTCAAAAAAAAAGAAAGCCAAAACAGACCCAACTCCGTCATCCTGGTGTCGAATGGTCCTGTATGCTAGCCCGGGATAATCTTGCAAAACCAATGCCAAAGCAGAGAAAATAGAAGGAACTTAAAACATATAAAGTTGCTTTCAGAAACATTTTTCATGTGTGGAAATGCGTTGAGCAATTCTTTTTTTTCGGTTCATGCGAACGAGGTATCCATCTAGCCGAGCTGCAACTCGGCGTTTTGTGAGATAAAAGGAGCATTCTAGAAAAAAGCAAGAACCGAAAGATGAGAAAAAGAAAGCAGAAGGAAAAAGCAGGGCTGGGCTACCGTGGGCAGTTCTAGCCGTCACTGCGAGCTCTATGAAATGAGACCAAGCGCAGAAGAATAACGAAGACGATAAGAACGAAATAGGCCGTGAAGGCATAATTATGTTGAATTTTTGTTCTTCTTTCATTTTTTTTTGGGCCATCCATTCTTCTGGATTGTGCTAGTCCAAACAGAAAATATGATATAATCCAGAAGAGAAGCACTGGGCTTGGAGAAGAATAGACCCGAGAAAATAAAAGAGAAGCCGATCGATGAAGCGCCATTGTTAAAAGAGACGGGGTATCGGTACATTATGTTGAAATGAAAACGCTGAGGAAGAAATCGTTGAGAGGTCTTCAGTCGTGACGCCATAAGACATTGCAGGGGGAGCCCGAGATGTGTTGGAGTAGTTGTTTGTATGGGCTGTGTTATCGTTGAGATGAGTGATGTTGAATTAGGTTAGGATGTTGAGTTGGTGTTATGAGAGGTTTGCAAAGATGGCATACGACCGAGGTAGGGGGTCGAGGGTGTGAATGGATAGCAACCAGTTATGAGTTGAGGGAAGCTGCTTTAATTGCCAGCAACGCCATTTTGCTCGGCATTGCCGTTGTCCAAGGGCACTCCAGGCATCTCGACGTTGAGATCTTTGACCTCGAGGCCATTGAATAATTCGAAGACAGCGTTAGATCTGTGGAAGTCGTTGTCAACGATATTGACCAGATACCAGTCGTCCATCACCTGGTGAATCAGCTTGCGACTAGGGCTCGCTGCGTCATAACATTTGGACCAGTGCTCGCCCAAGAGGTATGCTTCATCCTTCCAGGCCAAGAAACTGACTGTCTCGACGATTGTAGGCTGGATGATCTCCCGTCCGGCAAAGATACCCCATGTGAGGGCATTCGGGCTGTCACGTGTGTTGGTCCTGAGCACGCCCTTCTTGTTAGTGGCGTGGTAAGTCAAGTCATCGTTCTTCTCGATGCGAGTGATGAGCTCATCGATCAAGTTGGAGGGGACCAGAAGCTCAAGGTAGGCTTTCTGGTAGACGAAACCGTTCTTGGGGCCCCATCCGTGCACAGGATGGCACGACTTGACTCCATTGACAGCGGGCTGAGAGTTGATTGTCAGGAATCCGCGCTGGTTTAGGTTGAGCAAATCCTCCTGAATCTCGCGCGCTTCGGTCGTGATTGGCGAGTCACTCCACGGCAGTCGGTCGAGCTTGCCGGTCAAGAACTTAACAAAGATGTCCGAAATATCCTTGATCGATTTTGGCTCGCCCCAAAGTTTGATGTTCTGTTCATTTGTACCCTTCAGGCCCACGCCGTAAGCGTCGAGTTCACCGAACGCAGGTGAACGAGAATCGGTCCAGCGACCGTTAGGGTACTCATCCCATGTCTGGGTACGAGCAACGTATGATGAGTTCCGGTTGCGCCAGAATACTGGTCGCACATCCTCTGTCCTTCGGCCGAGGCCAAGGGAGGGCCGCCAGGGCAGCGCACGTTGAATAGGGGAATCGTCCGACGGGCAAAGATCGAGCTCTTTGAGAACCAATTGAGTCGCCTGAGCCAGGTTCATGGTATAACTAGGCATTGTTAGGACATGTCGGAATACCAGGATTGAGAAAATTAGTGGAGCCAACTTACAAATGCAGGTGCTTGATACCAGCTGTGACCAACTGTCTGCACATATTGGCGATCAGAGTCTTTCCGATCTCTCGAACCGCAGAATCGTCGTTCTTGACCGGCTCAAGGGCCTCCATCCACTCAGAAGGCACCTTGACCTTAGTCCAGTTGGACCGACGAATGAAAGATGCGTATGTCTGGATAGGCATGATACCGGGGATAATGGGGACAGTGATGCCCTTGGCTCGGCACTTCTTCACCCATTCGATGAAGTTATCCGCATCATAAAACATCTGTGTGACAACAAAAGAGCTGCCCGCATCAACCTTCTCCTTCAAGTGGTCGATCAATTGGTCCACATCGGTGTTGTCATCGGCACCCTCGGGATAGCCACCCACACCAATATCAAAGTGGTTGCCATATTTGTCCCGTATGTATTTGACCAGATCCTTCGCATAGCAGAATCCATTGTCCGTGGCCTCCCATGTCTCCTTGTCTCGCGGTGGGTCTCCTCGAAGAGCCAGAATATTGGTGCAGCCAGATTTGTAGGCAGCTTGGAGCGCTTGATCAACCTTCTCTAATGGCATATCCGTGCAAGTCAAGTGCATGCAGGTCTCCAAGCCATATACCGATTGTGCCACGCTGACCATCTCGCAAGTCAGATCCGATAAGCGACCGCCAGCACCCCAGGTGATATCGATGAATGAAGGACCTAACCCATGCATGCGGTCCATCCGGTCGTAAAGGTTCTGTACACCCTGGGCGGTTTTAGGAGGGAAGAACTCGAAGGAAATTCCAATCTTTCCTTCCGCCTCATTTTTGGCAAGCTTCTCTCGGATATGCATTTTGTTGTGTTAATCTAATATTTGTAAGTATACCAACATGCCTAGGTAGATTCCATCAAGGGTCTTCGTGCTCTGAACAAACATACCGAGGGCAATAACTAATTAGATCTTTTGTGGAACTGGAACACCCGTGCAGATGAGACAGGCTTACTTCTGCTGTCCGAGAACCCGAGCACAATCCCTGTGTACTGTGACACCTCAATGTCTAGTACCGAGGAATAGAGGGCAACGGATAAAACACAAGAAAAGAAATGGAGAAAAGTGAATAAAACAAGAAATTGTGAGGCTCCAAGGAGAGTGAAGGAGAGGAATTGAGGAACCCGGTGAGCGGAACATTTTGGGGGACAACATTTGGCGGGGAAGGCCGGCCATCGGAGGCACGTGGTTTATTTCTTTAAAGGGATATTAGGGGTCCAATTGGCAGGTGAAATTAAGAAAAAAGGGCATAGTATAAGGGATCATATGGGTTTCTTTCGTTTTGAACTCTTTATATTAGAAAATAACTATCAATTGGACTTTTATAGCAGAAATCCGTTTCTCAGACTTTATAAGGCGCGATATGAAGCCATACCGCCTGCCCCTCCATAGACCGGCAAAATTTTCTAGTTCGGGTTGGTTTCGCAATTTGACCTTGTTGACTCTTTGACAACAGCTTCAGTTCTCTAGAGAATTACCTACGACACCCCCAACTCCAAAATGTCGACTGTTACTCCCCCATCTGCCGATCAGGACTATAAGTCCACCCTCCTACCCCTCCTCATCTCCAACAATGTCCTCTCGTTCGGCACCTATGTTCTGAAGTCTGGCCGTGAATCACCCTACTTCTTCACCTCTTCCCTCCTGCACACTGCACCATTGTTACGCGCCTCCTCTGCCGCATACGCTAGTGTCCTGTCTGCCGAGCCCTTCGTCACCACCAACGCCGACGGCACCGCTCAGCCCAACTTCGATATTATCTTCGGACCCGCATACAAGGGTATCCCCATTTGCGCATCTGTCACCAACGAGCTCGCTGTGCGGGACTCCCTGTCTGGAAAGACCACTTGGGACAATGTGAGCTACTCCTTCAACCGCAAGGAGGCCAAGGCGCATGGCGAAGGTGGAAACATTGTCGGTGCCCCGCTGAAGGGCAAGCGGGTCGTCATTGTGGACGATGTCATCACTGCCGGCACTGCACTCCGCGAGGCTGTCGGTATCATCGAGAAGGAAGGCGGTATCGTCGCCGGTGTTGTTGTCCTGCTGGATCGGGAGGAACGTGTCAGCGATACCGAGTCCAAGAGCGCCATCGGCGTTGCCCAGCGTGATCTTGGTGATAAGATCCCCATTCGCTCAGTTATTGGTCTCCACGACCTGATTGAGAAGTTGGGTGATAGCATTGGCGCCGGCGAGGTCCAGCGGTTGAAGGACTACCGTGAGCGCTACGGTGCCCAATAGACATCGGCTTGTGGAATCCGCCAAATCAAGGCATGATGTATGAGCAAAGACAGCAGGATGGATACCAGGATATTTTGGAGTTGCTCTGAATATATTATTACTTGAACATTACATTACATATATTCAAATCAGGAGACGGACACCTTCCTTGTGGGCTATTTGACCTGTCCTCGATAATTGATCTAACCATATTTAGACTAGCTAGCAGATGGCTTTCCCATTGGCTCATCTTGGGCCAATATGATATAATGACAAGCAAACTTACTTACACTGTTGCCCGCGAAGGTTCCAGGGAAAACAGGTGATACCGGTGCTCAACCGGAGGTATTCAAAATATACTCCAATCGGGAAACATGGAGCTGAGTATGCAAGCTCCCCGGTCTTCAGTTTCGCTAATTATGTAGCGAATATATT